AATGTAACAGACTCTTGGTATTTAAAAAGGGTTAAATATTTATGAAAAAAAAAAAAGTAGTAATAATAAATAAAATAAAAATTAATTTCTTATAGACCCATATAGGTATATATTTATACTAGTAGAGATGGTATTGAGTGCATAAATGTACTTCATTGATATGTCGCATTAAAACTTTTGACCTTCATCGCGGTGAAAAAACACATATTAATTTCAACATCTATATTAGTTTTCTACGAAACGCTTTATCTACTTTAGTCTAATATGATTGCAAAATTTGCGTATCTTAACAGCAAAACCGAGATAATTTCAATGCTACCGTTAAAGACGTTTCAAAAGCGAAAAAGAAATTTATGAAATGAATATATTCTTAGAAATCTACAGCGTTTTGACATCAATATACATTCACCTTGGCTATAAGGATAAGTAAAAAGATTTTTGTTTTTTTATCTCATTCAAATAAGAAATCACGTGATTACGGTGTGAATCGATCTAACGGTGGGAAAGAATAAAGTGCCACCCGAAACCTTGTATTATTGTAATATTCGGATTAAATGTCAAAGCGTTGTCGTGCGCACCCATACAAGCGTTCATTCCATTAATCAGTAACGAAGTAACAGCGGAAATTAGTTTCAGCGCTCATTGAATGAACTATCTGCCGAAGCAAGGCCGGCGCAGAGCCAAAATTTCACTCCAGAAAGTGCCAATCATTATAAAGACAAATCCTCACTCGCCGGTCGACATTTCAGTACCGATTTTCTCACCAGCACTTTGTCGCTCTTTTGACATTCATAAATCGTACAGCCTTTCAAGAACATCAGTAAAATCGTAAGAATGGGTGGCCAAAGTTTTTTACTACTCTGTGCTTTTTGCGCCTTTTTCGCAAACGCCAAGCCCGCCGTTCCAAAAATAGGTAATTTTTCTAATTATAAATTATTTCTCAATAATGGCGTTGAATTTATTCGTCATGCACGAACCCTCCATCCCTCACAATAATATATAATATACGTACTAGAGATCGCGTGCATTTAAAATATATAGAGCTTTTATTTTTTGGGACGATAAATTTACCTATTTAAGGTTCAGGGGAAGGGTAAAAATTAAAATATATATGCATATACATATATTATATTAATGCTACAATTTACTGTTCCAAGTCTAGATGTAAAAAAATTGGTGATACTTTGCATTCTAGGAATTTTTTTACAGAAAACATAATTATCTTACGGCAGTATACTTTTTTCTGCTCATGTATATTATACAGTGATGACGTTTGCAATTGTACCACCTTGCAACTCGTTGATAGTTCTAAAACAGCTACTTTTGTTTCCCTTTCATTGAAATGAATAAAAAAAAAAAAAAAAGGTTGTTTAATTTAAATAATCTCCTTTGAATTTTCAGTGGTTCCAATCACGATTTGTCCATCCATGGTGTTGCGCACCGCGTGGGGTGCTCGGAACGCAGTTAACAGAATCCCCATGGAATTCACACCCGTGCCCTACATCGTAATTCACCACGGCAGTATAATGACGTCGTGCAACAACAAAGTCAGGTGTTCGGAGCTCATGCGAATATATCAAGACATGCACATGGAAAAACAAAATTGGCACGACATCGGTTACTCCTTCGCCATAGGAGAGGATGGTAACGTTTACGAGGGCAGTGGGTGGAGCATGCGGGGCTCCCACACGTCAAACTACAACTCTCAAAGCATTGGCATCTTGATGATGGGCAATTTTGAAAGTAAGATTTTTTTACTTGTGTACAAAAGACTCCACGTAAAAAATACCGAGGCTTTTTCAGCCGATTTTTGCACAATCTGTTTCTAAGAGACAAATCGATGGAAAAAAAAAGCTTTTTTTTTTTAACTAACAAGAAAAAATGAGTTTCACGCTAAATCACCATCTATGATTTCTCTCTGAGGGGACTTGAAGAAAAAAAATTGTACTAATCATTCGTGCACGTAAATAAATATAAATTAAGCCCTGTCGAATTAATTTCAAGGTCATTTGAACGTAAAATTCAGAAATAACTGATAAATAAAACGGAAAACCAAATATATTTATAGGTTTTTGGGTTTACTGATTATGATTATCCGGTGTCTGTTTGCCCGCATCAGGGCACGATTTTATCCCAATAACCCAAAATTCGTTGGTATAACGCATTGTGAATAAACATCAGGGGTGTAGTTCGCTCGTCTCTTTTGGGTAGAGTCTAATCATGAATATTGCTAGTAATATGAAAATGATTTTTTTTGTATTTTATAAAACGCGATACTTGGATATTTACGACTAGATTTAATGACCTAATGTGTTTTAACGTTAAAATTCCTGGCCACTATCACAAGTTTTTAATGAAACCACACGCAAATAAGTACACAGAGTTAGCACGGATAATTTACATGAAAATAAAATTCTTGGAGTAATTTTTTTCACCTGGTAAATCTGTGCGCAATTCCACATAGAATTTCTCAACGACGTGTAACATACGAGAGCGTAACTTTTTTCATGAAATTTTTGTATTTTTATGTATTTATTTTATTATCATCATTATTTTTAGAAAAATTGCCAAACGACGCTGCATTAAAAGCACTAAACTTACTGATAAGCTGTGGAGTCCGTTTGGGTCTCATTTACGAAGATTATCATATAGTAGGACACAACCAAACGCAACCAACGAATCGGCTAACTCCCTGTCCAGGCGAGGCTCTCTACGAATACCTCAAAAGGATGCCTCGTTGGATTGAACAGCCAATTCCTTTTGTTTATCAAGAATAACGTTATTTATTATATACGTGTACATAGATGGAAACTCATAAACATTTATTGTAAAAAGTCACAAGCAAGACCGTTGAATGTTTTAATTTGTAAATTCTGTACTATTTTTGTTCCATCCTAACTCATGAAAATAAATACTGTGCGACTAGTACCGATTCGTTTATGATGGATGGCAGCTGAAGTTGATCGTTAAAAATATTAATATTACGTAGTGTTAATAATTTTTCAAAATCATAAGTTTAATTTAGCTCAAACCAAGCTGTATAAGTTGTTTAATTCCGAGGGTTTTTCCACTATCAAATTTATTTGTTTATTTATTTTTTTGTAAATAAATTGCTTATGCCAAGAACAAATTGCTAAATTAACTACTTTATTTATTTTAACACAAATCGAAAACTATTGCAATTTTCAAGCAGTTTTCATCAAATATTTACGCTAAATATATTTCACAATCGCTATATTTATCACATACTATATATATATATATACGTAATCATAGGACTAAATAATTACTTCCGATATCACCGTCTATCACCTTGGAGTGGAATAACATCATTGGCAATACCCCTTTTTTTTGTTTTTTGTTTCAGAANGTAAAAAAAAAAAAAAAAAATTTCCTAAAGCATTATAGTTCCCTTTTTCCCCATTAATCATACACATCACCTAGCTCGTACAAAGTGTATTCAAAGTTTCACCAACAAATCTACGCTGTTACCAGGTAATTTTTATAGCCCTCTGTTTAAAACTCTTCCATTTCAAGGAACAACATGTTTTTTGCCAATAAATTACCGGGCAAACGTACAAGAGCGAAATCGGTAATTTGAGAATTTTTCCGTACAGAAAAATCCTGTGCTTCAAAGCCAATGAAATAATTCAAGGGTTGATAAAATAATGTAAAATTAATTCTCTCTGTCAACCAACTATATTTTTTTTTAATTTATGAGGTTTTTACTAAAACGCGAGTTTTTATATTCAGAGCAAATATTTTTATCTATTCAAGGCGCGATTATTGAAGCTCCAGTGACGAAGGAAAAGTAAATGTTTTCCTTTGCAACATAGCCAGGTATAAATTAGGCACTGTATAGGCACACTTTGTAAAGTTCTGAATAATTTTTAACTTTAGTGACTCATGATATTTTATCTCATGGTATTTTTTAACTAACGATACTATTCTTCATTTATTGATTTACTCACTCTATTGAGACGGGCCGAGTGACGTATACAATTTTTCGTCATCCCATACAGGAAAGTTTGTTCAACAGGTTGATTTGATTAACGCAGGGAAAATGAATCGCTCAGTGGACCGTGCGTTCCTTACAAGCATTGATCCTATACACCGAGGTCCTAATGAAGTGCGAACGAACGAACAATGGATAAACGAACGTGCCCAATAATTGGACTGACCGATCGATCACAAAAAAACATACGCATAATTCAACAGTGAATGCTAGAATACATATTTTTTTTTATAGTTCCTCAAAGTACACTGAAAAAGAACTTTCATTAAACGATACTTCATTCTTGGTTTTACACAACTGGTAGAAACAAAATTTGAAATGATCAAAGTGTTAGCGACGGTATGTGTGCTCACTTCTCGTGTCTTTGCGTATTCTCCATATACGATGCGCAAACATGAGAGAAGTGTGCACGAGATGATATTTAAGGTCAAATAAAGTAGAGCAAAGGCAGTCGAATGCAAACGATCGCGAGGCACCACAGGACATCAAGCATCAAGTAAAACGAAGAATATATATTTATAAACATTCAAAATTCACGGGGAAAAAAGCTCTTTTTACTTGCTTCATATGCTAATTTTGAAAATTTGTGAATCATGGGCAAAAGAGTGCTACTTTTCGTTCTGATGTTGATGGTCAAACAAGGAGAATTTTGGTCAACGAAAACCTTCGAAAATCGTGAGAAAACCTTACATTTTGTATTTTCACTTGAAAATTTTATTGAAATTGTAAAATACTTTTGTGGACTTTTAAAAATGTCTGATTGTCTCGTAGCATATATAACAATGTTAACACATTTAAAAAATGGAGTTTTACATGATAAACTAATGACTCGCATATTCGGTAAAAAGCACTTTTTTTTTTTTTTTTTTACTAATACGTATACAAGATTTCTGCGTCTGTTACAGCAAAATTTACAATCATAACGAGATCAGAATGGGGAGCGCAACCACCGAAAGGCAATGTTGGCTCGTTGAAAACGTTACCAGCGACCTACGTTGTCATTCATCACGCAGCTTCTCTCAGCTGTACTAATAGAGCTATATGCCAAGCAAGAATTCGAACTATTCAGGTAAAAGTATACTTTTTATTTTTCTGTTACAACATTCACAAATGAAAATTATAACCAACGCTAGGGAGCGTTGCAGAATTTTCACATGAAGACGGAAAAATTGCAAGATATTGGCTTTAATTTTCTGGTCGGTGAAGATGGGAATGTCTACGAAGGACGTGGTTGGGAAAAGGCTGGCGCCCACGCTGAAAACTTCAACGACAAAAGCATTGGCATTTGTGTGATCGGGAATTTTGACAGTAAGCAATTAAAAATATCGATCATAAACGTCGATTTGCCATATTTTTTCAAACATTCGGGCTGTTACATAAGTAATTACGTGAGTGCTTTTTCTTTTTTAACAGAAACTAGTCCGAGTCATGCTACACTCGCTGCAATAAAAAATTTAATTTCCCATGGAGTTTCCCAAGGTAAGTTGAATAGCCAGTACATCTTGATAGGCCACCGGCAGGCAGAGACATTATCTTGTCCAGGGCACTATCTTTATCAATTGATCCAAACTTGGTCTCATTGGCGTAAAATATCTCAAAACGCCGCATGATAATTTATTAAAATTAATGTCTACTCCTCATGAGGTGAATAAACAAACTGTATTAACAAAGTTTTAAAAAAAATAATTTGTGTGCGATTTTATAATTTCATAATGTATGTTTATGATAACGTTCAATAATTTTTTATAATCGTTATAAAGTTATTGATATCTTATTAAAAAAATTGTATAAAAATCCCTAAAAAAAAAAAAAAAAGGAGACGACGTTTAATATGTAGTGTACATCGTTATGGGACGATTAACTGCATAATCGTAGCTGTCAGCCTCGGTCCTCACACATATATCCAATCTCGTGTAACCTTTACCCTGCAAATCCATGTTGTAATCTCTTATCTAAAAACATTACATTTTTATTTTAAATCGTATCATTTAGTTATAAAAAATGTCAACTTTTTGACTGTGTCTTCCATAATCTCACTTGCAAATTAATGACTCTTCCAAAGTGTTCATTGAGTTCTGGAACACACACTTTTTCTCCGTACTTTAATTTTGGAACATTGTCCATGGCCACCGTGACGAACTCTGCTCGTCCGTCAATAAAATCCTAAAGCAAGACATTATTATTATTTATGCGTAAATCATTAAGGATAAAGGAAAAAATTTCAACCATCTTTCCCGTATACTTTGATACTAAATGTGAGCAACCAAGTAAAATAACAATAAGCGAGAGAAATTCGTCTAGATATTAATTATTCGATGTTGACACACACACATTCCTAGCCAGAAATCCACCAGCGGTTTCCGAGTGAATTACGTTGTATTGATCGGTTGCTCCGAAATGCGTACATTTATTAAAATTTACGTTTTTTCCCCTCCAACGCTGTTTGTACGATGATATGGAAATTTCTTGGGGAAAACCACAGGTAAAAACACATTCGCTTCGTATGATTTATGGTTACTGATGTATAAATTAAAATTTACGTGTTCGTAAGAACTATGCAAATTAGTTACTTCTTTACTACCCAAAATAAGATTTTCATTTCCAGTCGCTTTATTTTATCCTGCAGCTTTCGTCAAGGTGAATAGATGTATTAGAATGATACCAAACATTATTTGTGAAAACTTACTTGCAGCGTACGTAGCTTTTTGCCTTTTGCGTCGAGGTAGTCCGATTCGAATTCGCTGTCAAAGTCCGGATAGTAGGCCGCAAGGGTGGCATTGTGGTGGGCCCTGCCATAGCAGGACAAATCTTGTCGTTTGGGTCGCTCTGTGTACGTTGAAAAGTAAAATAAAAAAATTTTGATTTTTACCCGAGTGCCACTGAAAAATTTGTCAAAGAACATGATGTACCTTTCGCGTGAGCAGCCACTAGTAAAATAAGCAAAATTGTAATTTTACTCATTTTCTCTGCGAGTTACGACCGATGATCAACCAAAGTGTTCGAACGCTCGAGTTTTATACGTACGGTTTCGCTCTGAAAATTCTTGATTTTTGCTGACCGTACGTTTCGTTGTTTGCCATTGCCCAATTTTCTTGGTGCTTGCATTTACGCAATATGACACATTTTTTATCAAATTCTATCTAAATTTAAAAAAAAATGACAGTATATTGACATTATTCGATCAAACAAATTGTTACATGATCTAGTATTAAAAATAAAAATACCAATCACGTCCCGATACATCTATTGTAAATGGCGATACATTGTACAAATATACCAACTGGAATCACCAAAAACCATGATGTTTAAATTATACACGTTTTGAAATTTAGGGCAAACGTACAAGAGCGAAATCGGTAATTTGAGAATTTTTCCGTACAGAAAAATCCTGTGCTTCAAAGCCAATGCTTTTTACGGCATTGTCCGACAAAACTAGTTCACATATATATATATATGCTGTACAGCATTGAATAGAGCTGTTGTGTCGTTGCTCCTATAAAACGCATGGACAACCGCGTGTAAGTATATATAGACAGAGAAAAAGGAGGTAAGATCGATGAGAAAAGAAAAGGTTCTTGGGGGGGTGGCAGTTGTTGTCGACGATGATGTACAGCGACGTTACATACTTGCAGCTGAATAAGTAAAATGCCGATTGCTCAGGTCAGTCGAAACGCTATGCTGTTTGTGCAGTTTAGGTATATACATAATATGTATAGCTTGGCGCGACGTCTCTTGTTTTCCTTCTATTATCCCCGATAGATTCGCGAGCTCGAATTTCCCGAATAATCGAGAGTTATACACGTTCAGCTGCAATCGATATCTTTTATTATTACTACGTTTACGCAAACTACCCTTGATTGATCGGGTGATTTTTTTTATAGATGTTGCACATGTATTTTTTTACACGAGTTGGTATTTATATCATCGCATTGCATGTATGTGTTTGGATGCGTTTTTACGATTTTTCATTGCGCGAGTACCCGTTGGTTACTGTTTGTACGTATAGAATTTTCCAACTCTTCGAGGAGGAACCCCTAAATCTCTTTGGCTTTCGTAATCGAATGCTTGCCACGGGGTACAATATTTTCTTTTGCAAGAAACACCATTATTATACAATGGTTGGATTATTACTTGAATTGTTGTGTACACCTTGAATTAAAAATTCACGTGAATAATTTATATACCGATACACACATGCCTATCAATGTTTCAGTTTATAACTGCCACCAGAATGATATTTACTGCAGACATCAAAAATATTAAAAAAACCTTCAGCCTGCAACGATTTTTAAATGAAAATAGTTTGAACGTATATTTTCCTCGGTCCGGAAAAAATGTAAAATGAAAAAGAAAAATTCGAAAAACAACATTAAGCTCTCGATACCCACAGTTTGATGAACCGCAACTCAGCTGGGGACATCGGAAAGCCCTGGATAAATATACCATGTATATATAAACACATAGGTATGTACGTGTGTATCATACATATAGAGCAAGGGGCTGTTTGTACGAGAGGGGCGAAGACTAAAGCAAACCTTGCTTATCGCCTCATTCGTATCGGAGCTTTTCCACGTGTCGCACGCACTAGACTTTACCAAAAGGCCATACGTGTACACGATTGATTAACTTTTTTTGTCATCGAAGCAAAAGTTTATTGGGAATTGTTGGCGCTCGACTGTAGAACATTTTTATGGTATTCGATCGGATGGTCTCGAAGCTCGTCAAATGCCGTGAATCGTCCGACAGAGTCGAAAGGTTTGTGGTACCTATATGATTTCACACGTTTGTAAAAGTGCGGATGCTTTTCTTTGCGCGTACTTTACAATTTGTTGTTATACTGGCAACTTGTTTTGCGTGAAGTTCAGGAATTGTACGATAAATACTCTAAAAGATTATATTATCAGTTGCACGTTTGTTAAATCGAATCAAATCTTATTGGTGTTTCGTTTTCTTGCACAATGTAGTACGTTAGATGTGTTGAATTAAAATTTTTTTATTTAATGATTGTTTCAACAGTCGAGCATAGTTCACCTATATCAGTTAACATCTTAAGAATAACGGGATGGTAAATTTTTTTTATCATCATTGTTTTATTAGTAATTACACGTAAGAATTTCGTTGACCTATTCAAATAAAAAATACCACCTAACATCCAACTAAACGTAAACGTGGCCCAAAACTTAACACCTCAACGTGTTTTACGAAAATGATGTAAGTAGAAAGTGTCCCTGAAAAAAATTTTACAAACATTTATTGAACAAGTTTTATTGTAATTTTTTTTTTTTTTTTTTTTCTTATAATTTTTATGCTGTCTAATAATTATCTGCCAGTAGACTCGGGTAAGTGAAGAAGTAGTGAAATTTTTTGTTTTGACCTAAAACAAAAAACACACGAATAAGACAGACCAAAGTGTAACTTGTAGATATGGCTGTACAACTTTATCGATTGAAACATTGTTTTTCGTAGTGTGTATATTGATTGTAATATGTCAACCGGCGATGATTTTGGACAGTACCTATTCACCTGGTAGGGTACACTAATCTACTTGTACAAATCAGCACTATAAAAAAAAAAAAAAAAAAATTTCCTAAAGCATTATAGTTCCCTTTTTCCCCATTAATCATACACATCACCTAGCTCGTACAAAGTGTATTCAAAGTTTCACCAACAAATCTACGCTGTTACCAGGTAATTTTTATAGCCCTCTGTTTAAAACTCTTCCATTTCAAGGAACAACATGTTTTTTGCCAATAAATTACCAATAATTATAAGTGTTTTTTTTAAATAAGTTTTTAATACTTTATTAAGTCGTTAATAATAATTTTTCACAATTAATTATCATTGTACATGTCGATGTGGCAGCAAGCAATGCCATTAAACATGTATATTAATCAATCGGAGTTGTTCTTTACTCACCTCAATTATACACAAAATTGTTTCTTCACGTTTGAAAAACAATCAAATGCAGTAAAAAAATTTTTTTTTCAATCAAAATGGTTCTCTGTTATATTTACAGAGATCATCAATAAAATTGTAGTTGATTTCGAATCTGGACAAAACCCTACATAAACAGTACTTTTTACATATAATTTTATTAGTTTAGAAATTAAAAATTTGGCGACTGCTTTTTATCCCTCCTCTTCGAGAATCACGAGGTGCTGCAAGTAGTAGTATAAGAGCCGCTGTGTGTGCGAGTGTGTTTGTCACGTCGGATTCGCTCAAATACTTATACAATTGTTGCGGCGTTTCCGGGGGAGGGGGGGGTACCACCACCGGGGTTGGCCTTGCACGCCCCTTGCTGACCGACGTGTGGGCTCCTGCCCCACTGTCTACGCGAAGGGCGGCAGTAGTTTCGGTACTCGGGTATTTGTGTTACGGCTGAAACAAGAGAAAGAAAAAGGTATACTTGAGCAGCGGTCGTAATTGGGGAGGAAAAATGAATATCTTACATTGTAGAGTACCGCCAGCGTGCAGCTGCTAGCAGACTTGGCTGTGGATCTGAAATGAATTTTGTGTAAGTTGGATTGAATTTTTATTGATATAGAAGACAACAGATGGAAAAAAAGGAAAATACTTACTTGGTCATCGTAGCCATACTGCTCGAGAACTCGTCTCTGATGCTCGGTCACGATGACTGCAGTTGCTCGCTGTGGACGCACAAAGTTCTCTGGGTGCAGAATGTCCTTGGGTCCATTCGGCAGATCGCAGGCGATTATTGCGTTTTGAATGATATTCTTCGCCGTGACCTTGTCCCTGTTCCAAGACTTTCCACACTTAATTTTTTTCCCGCGCTTCAAGATGTTTAGACATTCGGCTCTCCGACTGTCTCGTCCTGTGCCAACATTCATTTGCTGCGAGCAAACTGCACATAGCTGTGTGGTCAGGTACTCGTCCGAATGGTAAATCTGTAAAAAAAAAAACAAGAAAACAAATAAAGAATGTAGTCTACTGAAAGAAAAAATAAATATATTGTTTTTTCATCGCACGTACTTTTAGATTTTGAGGGTTCTCTGTTGCTTTGTCCACGAGTCGCTTTACTATCAACTTCATCGGTATCCTGCGGTGTCCGCGGATTTTACCGCTGATGTTCGTTCGTCCGAGGGCCAAAAAAGTTGACACATCTCCCTTGTCCTTTCCCACTAAGTCGCCGTATACAATCTTGTTGACCACATGATCAACGAGACTTCTGGATCGTACTTTTTTATCAAACTTTAATCTGGACAGGAATTTTGTGCGCAACAGGGGCCCGACATCTCGGTAATAGGTCAGCCGAAAACTGGTCGCTTGGTACGTCAGTGTTTGCCTCTTCAAGTCGATGTTGGGAAAATTCTCCATAAGAGTTGCGACTCGAGTATGAATTCTGGCTTGCAGATCCACTGCTCGCCACTTTCTCGTCACTTCGCCAAACTGACATCGAAACCATCTCGCAGACAACATTTCGAACTCATCTGTGCCTTTGGGATCGTCGCTCGTTCGAGACTGTTTGGCCTCGTCCCTCTTTGCAATGTCCACTACGTACATGGCTAGCGACACAATCAGACCTCTTGCTTGGATGTTATCTATCAATCTTTCATTCGATGAAATCGTGAAACTAATTGCTCATAATTATATGCACAGAATTTGATATCAAAACATTTTATTTTTCCGCACGTTAATACTTAATTTGAAATATAGTATTATTTTGAAAAAATGTTCAGCTAATTTTTTTAAGGATGGCAGTTCAGCTATGACCACTGGTTAATTATTTTTCCTCATCATAATTGTTATGAACTGTAGGACAAGCTCCGGAGGTTATCGATGAACATATGTGACTTTAAGATCTCTTTCCGTCAAAGTTTCGATAGCAATGTTTGTATGGGCTTATACCACTACTTCTCTTGTTATGCTATCTGAGGATCGATTCCAACTGTCGGCAAATTTTTTTTTTTTAACGTGATTCATCATTTTAGTTTATTTTCTCTTTATTTATGTTTTATTGAAATTTATAAATAATATTAACAAACCCTTTTCTCCCTATACATCGAAATACATTTTTTTAATACTAATTATATTAAATCATTTTATAACGGAATATACACAGCAGACCAGGCACAGAACGCAAAACAATCCACGCTTACTTTTTTTGGATAATTTTAGAGATGTACATCAATTTTTACGTGATCCCTTATAATCATCAATATACAAATTTTCGGTAAAATAAAACAATTTAGCAAGTGATGAAAATATCATTTGTAAATGCAATTAATAAAATAATGGCTTCGTAACGCTTGAATCCAGACTTAAATTTACTGATGTTACAAAAACGTAATTTTTTTTTTTTTTTTGCAGATGAGTTCAACGAGTATCAGACATTGGCTTAGTCGCGGCGATCTAGATAAACTGGAAAATGTCGTTCTGGAAGGCAAAGGCTCGCGACTGCTGGGCGAACACTCGCCTGAACTCAGGACTCGAATTTTCCTCCGAGGACTGCCGCACTATCTAGTAATTATATTTATTGAAGAAGCATTTGGAACCAAATTTCTCTTGGGTATACATTGTAAAGTCAATCTACTGTATTTTAATCCATTGCAGACAAAAATATCACAAATCCACGACGCAGTTATCCGCGGGTCGTTAAACGAAGTGCAAAGGATCGCCGAATCGGAGCCGAAGAAGAAACTTGTACTTTCGAAGGATTCGTCCGGCATACCGTTGGTTCACAAGGCAGTTTACTACGACCATCCCAATATCCTGGACTGGATTCTCGAAAATTATCCCGCCACCGTTGATCAAAAAGATCGGGTGCGTACTTATCACCACAGGCACTAAAATTAGACTTTGTTTTACAAAATCATTGTGAATTATACAATATAATCTAAAGTCGTTTAATAACGTAAACAAATCTCGGAAATTGAGAAAAATCGGTTGGAAAAAAAGTTTTTGTTCTTGAAACAAAATATTAGACCTCAATATTTATAGAATTTCAAAGTTTTTTGTTCCAATCCATTTACCTTATGTTTTTCACATTAAAAATTAACCCTAGCGTGACGCGATACTTTATAGCTTCCGTGTTATTATCGTTGGACTAATATAATGCGTTGCGGACGTGAAAGACGAGCGAACGCTCGTTCAAATGTTTGTCGAGCTTTCACGTCACGTTTGCAAAAAATTTCAACAGACTTCCGGGTCCAAGAGAGTCATTAGTTAAAACTTGTTTTAAATGTTAGCTTAGACTAAGCGATAAATAATTCAAGGGTTGATAAAATAATTTATGATTAAATCTCTTTGTCAACCAGCTATATTTTTTTTTGTTTATAAGGTTTTTACTAAAACGCGAGTTTTTAAATTCAGAGCAAATATTTTTGTCTATTCAAGGCGCGATTATTGAAGCTCCAGTGACGAAGGAAAAGTAAATGTTTTCCTTTGCAATATGGCAAGGTATAAATTAGGCACACTTTGTACAGTAGTGAATAATTTGTAAATTAAAAGTCTCATAAAATTAGATCTCGTATCATCTATCAATTTACGACATCATTTATTTATTTATTTGTTGATACACTAAATTACTTGAAAATTTGTGACATTGACAGTTACTTTACACACGATTTCTTCAATCTTCGGTACTATACTTAAAAGTTTCGTATCAGCAAAAATATTATACGAATAAATGATTCACTTTGTGAACCAATCGAAAAGACTTCCACCGCAAAGTGGAAAGAAATAACGTAGGAGGAAATAATTGCATCCATAGTAATTCCGTCAATAACGACCGACGGCTTCCGATGTGAAATCGATGGATTGAGCCACATATGTGTGTACATGCGATAGCCAAGCAACAACTCAAAAACGATGGGAAAAAGCCGTTCGTTGAAGCCATTCGATCGATCTCGTATGAAAAAATAAGCCGGCGCGTGGGTTATTTTTAAAAACGAAGAGTAACGACGACACGTCGTGTCCCCAGGAGGGCAGGACGGCGCTCCACTACTGCGCGGCCTGCCGGGAGCCCGAGACCGTTTGGGATCGGTTGATCGAGGCCGGCTGCGACGCGAGCGTCTGCGACAAGCGATCCCGACCGGCAGCCTACTATCTGCAGCACAGCTCCGAAGTCGAGCTGCCCGATCCCGTGAAAATGACGAGCAGGAAACAGAGGGACAAGGACCCGAGCAGATGGATAAACAGTGAGTTTTTATGTTTATTTGTTTGTTTCCTTTTTTTTTTACCGATCTACCAACTTTACAGATAAAATTCGCAATCCATTTGTAATTAGAATCCATAAGATTGCACTTTTCAATGGAGGTTCATGTATATATCGTATCGCTAAGCTATCGAGCTTGACCTGACATTGCCGATTCCTTGAAAGTCTTTGCGCCAACGCTTGTAATTATACGTGGCTCTTTCTTGGCTCGCTCACAGTCTCACACGCGTGTCTCCGTCGTGTGTACGTAACGTGTGTGTGCTTGTACCTTCAACGAGCCGATCGATTGGTGCCTGTGAATTTTTAATGCTCGCCCCCTCGTCTTTACCTCCGCACACGGTACCCCAGCGCGTGTGTTACTTATATGTATAATATATATATACGTGAGTGGGTAAACGACGACAAATCGAAATTTCTACCGCCCAACCCTTTTTGTTGAAAGTCAAATTTTTGTTGGAAAAAATCGGCAAAAATCGGCTATCGTTGCCATGTTTGTGGGCGTAATTGCTCAAAATTACAGTCGCCCTGCGGTTTTAATTGAAATGCCGATATACTTAGACTACAACTTTGACAGTCAGTGCTTCCTATAGATCGAAACATTAATATTATTACAAGGGGGTAGTTACAGTTAGCTTTTTTTCCCCCTTTGATCGGGTCGGTAGAAAATCGATAATCGAAAATCGTCACGGTGCAATAAATAATTGAAGAAGAGGAAAAAAATCAGGAGACGGAAGAAAGGGTGACCCGCACACATGTTAGCCCACGCTCGCGTGCATACGAACTTATCGATTACACTCGGGTGGTAGGAAAAAGCCGGATATTTCACGCGCAATAATATTCGCGATTAAATAATTGAACGGCTAAGGCGCGCGACGGGCGTTTCCGCGTGTACGAGAGGCGTTTGATTGTTTACCCGGAACTGATGGGTAAATTTGCGAGCTTGACGTCACACGTTGTTTTGCAACGAACATACGAGCGACAGAGTCCCACATCTGGGTTGGCGGGCAGGGAAAGTATTGCGCGTCTGGCCGGGGTGAGGGGGGGGGGTGGAACGGGGGTGCAAGTGTATTTTATATGGAGGACCGGGTTGGCGTGTGCCGGCAACGCCTGCGCGAGCCACTTTAGTTTTTCATCCCGAGCGAGGCGGATCTATACGTCGCAGCGATGGGGAAAAAGTTGCGCGCCGCCGATCAGAACACTGGTAGCTGTATACATATATATATATATAATGGATTCATTTTATGAATTTTGAAAAAAACACATTCATTTGTTTGTTTGTTCAATCGCGTGGGTTTTATTGGGGTATTTTTAACAAAACTCAGCCACTGATCGAATAGATCATGTATATACGACAACCCGACACCAACAGATTTTTTTACACGTCACATGTATTTTAAAAAACAATTCAAAATAAAAAATGAAAAATATGAAGGAAAATCGAGTTTCGTCGATACTTGTAAGGTCTGCCGTTTAAAGTTAAAAATCCGTGCACTTGACACGATTGGTATACTTAATATGCACTTCTCCCGCGGAGTGTAAGGTCTCTTCGGCGATTTCGCGTCCTTGCCGATATGTTTGTCGGTTAGCCATTGATGCACCGATTTCACGAGGAAGAAAGAAAAAAAAAGATTGATGGCCAAAAATTTAGCAAAACGATTTTCGAGCAGGTCTCGACTTCAAGCCGTCCAACATAAGGATATGGATCCACAACCGAGACATCGGTAAGCTGCAGCATGTCCTGTGGGAGGGCCACGGATCAAAGTTGCGCTGCGAGACGAGCAGCAACACCAAGGTCAAGAGGTTCCTCGAGGCCGTGCCTTTTATCATGGTAACGTTAGATTCCCTCGTATTAAAAATAAAATACACCCATATTACCCCATGCAACAGCTATGGTATATCGATAAAAAAAACGACCCGTAAAATTGCACTGCTCCAAGGGAACCATCAAAGACATCCACTCGTCGGTCATAAAGAACGACCTCGAGGGCTTCCGGCTGAAGATGGACGAACCGATCCCGCCCATCATATTATGCAGTAAGGACAGCAACGGACTGAACGTGCTTCACAAGGTATATGTCGTATCATACATGTAATTGAGGCAAATCAGTGCATGGTGATCATTTTTATTAAAAAAAAAAAAAAAAAAAAAAAAAAAAAAAAAATCAGGCTGCAGGCTTGAGCTATGCGGAGATGGCCCGGGAGATTGTCGAGAGGTACCCGGCGATCGTCAACGCGCCCGACAACGAGGGCAGAACTCCGTTGCACTACGCCGCGGTCGCCAGGGACGGTGGGGCCATGTACGACCTGTTGACCGATTTTCGCGCCGACGAGGGTAAAGCCGACAACGTGAGCTGACTTTTTTTACTATCGTATACAGTTAACAAAGGAAAATTTGAAGAAAAAAAAATATATATATAAATAGAAAGGGAAAATCCCGGCGCACTACAAAGGCCGTNAATAAATCCATGAAGTGACAGATCAGCTTTCTATTATAATCCTGACATTGATTACTTAAATCTTCCAACTATTTAAATAGGTGAAATAATATGTACGTACATACATTGTCGTGCTAAAAAATAGAGAGATGAGGCTTTTGTGGTGAAGTTTTTTTATTGAAAAAAAAAATTTTTTTAATTATATATTTTTTATCAGTTATATATACGTAGTAATTTAATCAACCCTCACAAATATAGCATACATGTACAGTAGCCTGGGACTTAATTATTATTGTTTTTTTTTTTTTTTAGAGTGACATTTTTTTCGTATGATTTTACGCATCTTGTTGCATTGAGTGTGTTTGAAAGCTGGTTTGAATAAAAAATCGACTGTGTAGACGCACGTGAGCAGTTTGTCCGAATGCTGATATGGCTATGTTTGTACATTCACACGGTTGTATTGTAGGTATGTGCGTGGTTGTACCTATTTTGGTTTTTTCAAGTTATTCTGTTTGGATTTGCACCGTTGAGACAATGTTCGTTATAATTGGATGATTGGAAGCAATGTGTTTTGATCTGCAAGTGGAGGATTTTTTTTTTTAATTAAAAATTGCGTTGGGGTATTGAATTTTAAAACTTCAGTAGGGTAATTTTAATTTTATTGTACATCGTACAATTTAAATTCACCCAACCATTTGTACATGTCGAGCTTTTAAAGATTATTCAAGGTAATACTTATCCAAGTCAGTAAGAAAGTGAGAGATGTTGTTTAAAAATCGTTATAGATGGAAAAAAAAAAAAAAAAAAAAAAAACGTTTGAACGATTATTTTAAATTGCACTGTAAATGACCACATACAATGTAGCACTCCCTCGGTGCACTGGGTCAACTTTATTAAATATTTACTAGTCGTCGTATTGAGTTTTTTTCCCAGTGAAAATGCCACAAATCGCACTAATCGATTTTGCAACGACAAACACCGTAGTTTTGTTTTTTCTCACTTGCACTTCTGCTATCTCACTAGGTTGCACGAGCCGTACAATTTGCCATGAAAATAGGCCACCACAAATTTTACTTGGAATACAGATATTTTTCGTCTTTCCTATTGTACTGTTTCGTGTGATTTTATAAAGTGAAAAGTTCAGTTTTATCGATTTTTTAAAGTTTTTTTTCCCTTTGTGAAATCAGACCAAAGCATTTAAAATCGGTAAAAAAATTGGAAAATAAATTTTCACATCAAATTAATTTTGGTTCGTAGATAATTTCAATTTCTCCTCCAGAGGTATCGAATAATTTGTTGTTGTGTTTACTACTGCATCGAGTTTTATAACAAGAGTTACGGTATCCAAACACTTAGATTTCATATATCTGTTGGGAATATTATATATACTACGGCCTTGTAAATACAAAGCAGCTAACCATGTAATCACAAACGAACAAGGAATCATATTTCAATGCATCAAATTTTTTTTCTAAATTTACTTTAATTGAGAAATTCTTTTAATTCATTATTGCAACTTTAAATTGTACGTATATGACGAATTCCACAAAAAATTATACGTTGTATATAATTATCTTGATAATCCTAAAATATGTTAATGAGTCATTATTTATGAAGCACCATTTTTTGAAACTTGAAATTGTTTTCAAAGCGTTAAAAAAAAAGAAACTGTTACAGTACTTGATCGGAATCACGTATTGCGTTGAATATGGTGATTCTTGTGGGATTGGCAGCATCTGTGTATCTTCAACCCATGATTGCGTACACACCTGTATAATAAAAACACCCAAGTATATATACATTTATCAAAAGAACAAAGTTGTTTTACGGATTGTCGATAAAAAAAAAAAAAAAAAAAAAAAATGAAACTTTCCCGAGTACAGTCAAAGTAAACTCCATATGCATTGGTCCTCTCGAGAGAAATATCTAATTCAGAACGGGTCCACTTGTCCTCGAGACAAAATGCTGGTATACCCACACCAAAGACGAAAAATACTGTAAAAAAATTTGTGTACGCGAAACGAAGAAACTTCCCGACCTCGGCGCGAGTGTCGGCACGATGGCTGATTAAATCGTTGAAAAACCATGACAGATCGAGAACGCGGAGGACCAACTGAACGGGAACGAGGACGCGGTCGAAGGCGCCGCGAACGAAGATAGCGCGGATGCAAATCCAGGGACCGGCGCGGAAGCCCAAGAGGAGGAGGCTCCTCCTGCCGAGGACGGGAGTGCGGAAACCGAGGCCGAAAAGGACGAAGAAGCTCAAGTGGAGACCGACGACAACAACAACGAGGAGCCTCGGGCACCCGAAATCGAAGAAGCCCCAGGTGACAAAGACGCGGAAGTGACGCCCGCACCCGATATCGAGGAAGGAGAAACCGCGGCTCCGGATCCCAAGGATGCGGTGACTTTGGCTGGTTCCAAGGGAAATAAGGACGAAGATGGGGAAGAGGAAGGGCCGAGCACTGCGGATTCCGGTGTCGGGGAGGCGGCCAATGACGAGGTACGGGTCGAAAGGAGGGCTTGAGGCGCTCCCGCGTGACTGTGCACCATGTGCTGTTCCATATATCATATGATACGTGTATGTGTTGTTGCTGTTGTCGTTGTTGACTTTGGCCTGATAAATCGGGGCCTCATCGTGGACCATCATCAGATGTGGCTGGCTGTATTAAAAAAAACAAAAAAAAAAAAAAAAAATTTTTAATTTGGAATGAAAAACAACAACGTGTCCGTCACGTATGTAGTTGACGTGCAAAGAAAAAAAAAACCTGTTGTGTCGCTGTCCCCGCGTTTTTATCGACAATCTCGATTGTTACAGCTTTGACGTGTTACCGCTCCCCAAGATCACGTGTCTTGCCACGGAGCTTCGGGGGAATTTGCGTACATGTACTCTCTTTGTCTGTTTCTGGCTTGTTTTTCCCTCTCGTCGCTACAGAAGGACCATACTGTATCGAGATTGAATGTCAGTGCACACTCCTCAAGTATATATATGTATATCGTTCAATCGCACTGTAAAGCAAAATTATACCATACAAGCACAGGTGACGTCCTAATCTTTACGTGCCCACGAGAACTATAAGATCAAATGATTGGCATCAATGTGTTGTACGATATGTTAGCCGTGGGTGTTTGTTACGGTATTAAAAAGAGTATATTAATTGATGTTATTGTGCTCGAAACGATGATCAATTATTAAGAAATACAAAAGATATATATGTGCTTGTGCTTTCGATTCAGATTGGTATTTGCTGATTCTAATAAACGTCGTATTTTCATGGGAATCGGATGAATTAAATCAACACGAAAAAGTCAATACACATATAAAAAGAAAATCCGATCGAAAGCACTGTTGGATCAATGAAAATTAGAATTTAAAAAAATACGTGTTAAATTCAAAGAAAACCCATCAGAAGTCGATATGTTTATTTATTTCAATACACTTTATTATAATCAGCACATATAAATTAAATAAATTGTCAAAATACAACATATTGTCTAGTAAATTAATGATCCAACCTCTCCATGTGTTTCTCACACCATAATATATAAAATCACGTAATCTGTTCAATATTGTTTATTTCATCGTGAAAATATCTCCACACGTTATTTAATTTTATTTGTACACGTGATCATTGTCTATTTTACCTCGATGTTATTTATTGTTTGTTTCAAAAATTTCGTTGTCATTTAATCGCAAACGCAACAAAGAATAACCAATCATACAGTTGTACATACTTGTCTCAATAATTAAAACGTTTGATTGCTTATTTTGATTTTAATCCTTGTACCATCAATACACATCGTTGTTTTGTCAACCACACGCTCTGGCCAAGTCTTTAAACGCATAACGATTTGCAATATTCATCATCGTGGAGGATTCCTTTGGGGCCTAAACTCTTTTACCGATTCGATCGTGAAAAGGGTTGCAAAAAACACTTAGCCTTGACCTATATTATATTCAAAGTGTACGAAAGGTGTTACCAACACGTGCCCGCCGAACCGATCGAACCTGAGCTGTTTAACAACTCGGTTGGGATGTAGCCGTGTAAAAACAATGTCTATGCATTGGTAATTAAGGGCTTGAAAATAAACGAAAGTTTATCGAGCTCGTGAAAGAAGGGGCAACAACAACCGGTCGAGTATCTGTATGCTATGGTACATGTAAAATACAAAAGCTTCCAAAAGATCGGAATAGCCAAACAAAGGGGGGGGGGAACCGGGTCGTCCACCTTTTCCATTCCACGCGAGCTGTCGCTCATTCATGAATACTTAACGATGACACGCCGAGTTGTGGTTACCACCAACACAAATAACCATTATATCTACGCGCATGTAACGGTGGAGGGTTTGCTTTTCCGCGCGAGAGATACCGATCGAACGTATATACTGGTCTCGTGTGGCGGACTAATGGGTTGTCGGACCTGCGTGTATAGAACGAAGCAAATCGATGATGGCGCTGTACCGCGTACGCGAAGCAGCTTTTTTCTTTCTTTTTTTCTTTCAAAGTAGGTACAAAGTAGACAGTCGGAGGACAGCCGCGCGAGTGCTCGCGCCAGCGCGCGAGGGAATTCCCGGAGACCACGCGAAAGTTTTGCTTCATTTGCGACAATTTGATGAAAAATCGGCAAATCAAATCTTCTGGTCATTGCGTACTTTGGTCAGAAACAAATCGTACGTGTGCGTATATTTTACAAATAAGGCACTATTGATGCAACGTACACACGTTAGTCACATCTAAACACAAGGGGAAAGCTTGTACCGATCCGGAAAAAAAAAAAAAAAAAAGAAATCATTCGTTCCGGTGGTTTAACACGCCGTACCAAAGAGTAGAGCCGAACTGAGTGGTTGTTTCGCAGATCGAGGAGCCAGTTGATCAGAGAGAGGAAGCCGAGGAGGAGGAAGAAAAAGGACAGGAGGAAAAGGACGAAGAGGGAGAAGAACCGCAGCCAGAAGAAGAAGAGGAGGGTCGAGAAGATCGAGCAGAACTAGAAGAGGAACCAAAAGAGGAAGAGGCGGGGAAAGGGGAGGAGGAGAATGGTATGGCAGCCGACGAGGAGACCGGCAGACTCGTCGAGATCGGCAACATGGAGCAGTTGGCGGCTCTCGTGCTAACCGGCGAGGGACACCGACTGGTCGGCAGAAACTCGAGCAACCCCGAGATACAGGCGTTCATCGACAATGTGCCCTCTTACATGGTGAGCTCACGAAGAACCGATTTCATCCGATTTTCATCAAGTCCAATGAATCCATTATAACTTTATTTTCGTCAATAATTGTTCTCGAATCCCTTCTAACACATACACGTACTTGTAGGAAAAAATACGCGCCGTGCACAAGGCAGCGAGAGAAGGCAGTCTCAAGGACCTGCAGATATATCTGGACCGGCGCAAGTTCGCCATCGCTAAGGATTCGTCCTCCCCCCACGGGGCCACGCCCCTTCACGTTGCCGTCATTTTCGGCCACACGCCCGTCATCAGGTACGTATACCTATACAATACTGTGGAACGGCACACCTGTAACGTGTCGCGTCTGTATGCCAATAGCACACATGACTGATTTTTATTATTTTTACTACTTATTGTGGTTGATTTTAATGAATTTTCAATTAATTTTTCACGCAATGAAAAGTACAAAGTTTATACATAGCTGTTATATTTTTCATTTCAATTTAATTATGGACTTTACTTTAATGTTATTCAAATACCACACAATTGATAAGAATTAATGTCATTTTTCTCTACCGATTATAATTCAAACAGCATTGCTGCATAAAATACTTATGTACTTGTACTTGTCCCTTAAAAAAGTAGTCGGTGTTTTAAAAATTTTCGAGTCAAAGAATTAATATCGCTTCCAGTTTCATGAAAATCGGTATAAAATCGGTTTACGGTTTTAACGTAAAATGCGTGCCTGTCGGTAAAATTTGCTCAATAAAATGAAATAAAAAGAAAAAGAAATTGTTATTGCATGTAAAATCGTCAAACGAGGGAAATCGATAACGCTCATACTATTATTCTCGATTGAAAAGATAAAACTCCGAAGTAATGATCGAATACTAAGGCCAAAATTAATTAAAGTGCTGTCAACCGACTCTCGAACAATATATACTATAGAGTAAAAGTTTTTTTTTTTTTTTTTTTTTTTTTTACTACGCGTGTAAGTTTTAAGGGTGACGGTGCAATAAAACACGTATGAAACAACTGCGCAGGTATCTAGCGGGAAGGTTTCCAGAAACTTCTCACGCCCTAGACCTCGACGGGCGAACGCCGCTGCACTACGCATCGGTCTTGGCAGACAACGGACATTACTTCAACCTTCTGCTCCACCTGGGTGCCAATCCGCTCGTACAGGACAACGTGAGTACCTACATATATTTAGTTTCGTTGCGAAATACATACCTATTGCACGTGACAGACGATAAAATTTATGATACATTGATTTGCCATTGTTTAACAAACCTTTCGTTTGCAACGAGATTTACGGATGACTCGTGTGGTGCATGTTTTGCCTATAAACTTGGTAATTGCAAGTTGCAACCTTGAGAGAATAAAATTGCCATGCATTTCTTTCGTGTGTGGTGGATATGCATTAGCGACTTTGCGATGTACAACATGTAGGTACTAGGTACGTATATGTACGAAGTTTATACGCGGCAATTTACAAAGGTAAACGCTGCAAACTGTTAAAACGATTGTATTTCGATCACTTGTACGTACCTTAAAAAATTCACGGTATTTCAATCGAATTATTTTTGACTAGGATACTTGATTTTATTGGCAAAAACGGATTTGCCACGCGTGATGAAATACATTTACACGGGTGCTTTGACACCCTAGGGTCTGTATCAATAAGTTTTTATTGCGTCGCGTTGATTGTTATTTTTAACGATGAGGAAAAAAAAGTTTGGTAATTCCATTAATCCTTTTTCTCAGCGTGACTATAATTTTAGCTCATTAGGAAAAATTGATTAGTTTGACCTGGTTTACTTCTCTTAATGTATTAATGATTGATAATTTTTTTTTTTTTTTTTTTCATCAATCGATCGTGGATGACCCTTGAAATGGAAAAAATAAAAAATTAAAAATACACAGTTTGGCCACAAAGCGGACTATTACAAGCAAAATCAGGAGGACCTGTCGCACAAACAATTGTTGCGTGACTTTGGCGCTCCCGAGTCATTGGCCGACGAGATGCTCGTTGACAAAGGTATGCGAGATTTTTTAATAATGACAAAATTCACTTTACGTTCAATTATATGTTTTAATTGTACAATTATTACATATACTTATTTCTGTTCCGCTCGAACGATGGTGTGTCAGATGGGGTTGCAAAAATTGTAATAAGTCCATCACCCGGTGCATACAACAAAACAAAAATTAGACTATTCCATTATGTTCCTAATTCTAAAATTTTCTTGACAACCCATTATTTACTTTTTTTAGTTTATTGTTGTTAAAAAACCAGATGGTATGATTGTTATTACCATCGTGCACGAACAATTTTATTTTGTTTCATTTTTTTAAAAAACGAGTACCTACTGTAGATGAACTCAAGATTAAATTTTTTCAAAGGGACACATTGAAAACAATTCATTTTGGCTTCTTCAAACGTATACGTTAAATTACGTTTAAATTTTCCAAAACACAAACACCCAATCGTCAAAGTTAATCGTTTTCAAGATCTTGAGTGATTTTAGAAAAATACTCATACCTCCGTATGTGAAAAGAAAGGTAGTATAAATAAACGTACGATTGTAAATTTTTGTTTTAAAGACGTACATCCATAATTTAATTAACTCCTGTTTTTTTTTCTTTTTTTTTTTTTTTTTTAGGCTCTAGACTGTATATTTGTTAGTTCCATACTTTCCATAACTTTTGACCATTAAATAAATTAAATAGTATGTGGTTTTTTTTTAAACTGGTGCGACACCCCCCAACCGCATGACCCGAGGATGCTGCGCAGAAAAAGTCAAAAGCCTGAGTCAGAAAAAAAAAAACGTGCACATGTCTCGATGACGGAAAAAAAAAACCCTGTAATCCTGCACAGCACGGGCGCAATTAGTGTAAATTTGTACTTGTACAATCGTGTCTCGTCGCAGTACCTACATATATAATACATTTATATACATAGTGTTCTCACTCCCCTGACCCAATCACCCTGTGTCGATTATCATCAACCCGATCTTTGCACACCAACCCAATACTGTGCATGAGTATGTTTATGGTCCACCTGGAAAAAAAAAAAAAAAAAAAAAAAAATTGGCATCGATCGCCGTAATGACGTAACGCCATAGTGCCCGGAGGCGCCGACAAGACGTCCGGCCGGCGGGACGTCAGCGAGCCGGAGACCCTGGCTGCCCTCGAGCGCTGCTTCCGGCTCTTGGCCATTGGCAACGGCGCTGGTGGTACGGGCCAACGGAGAAGCTCCGTGCCGATGACGCCCAACGGAGGAGGAAAGACCAACGCCACAACTAGCGGCAATAGTAGCGCGGGTACATTGCTAGGCCGTTGCCTGAGACGGAGCGTCTTCGATGCTGTTAAGCACCGCGTAACATGCATGGATCACAATCTTTTGGACGTCGTTTGGCCCGCTTTGACTAAACACGGCAACGCGTCTTACGCAAGCAACGCCAGCCTCGAGGAGTCGCGCGACGCTAATGGGCGCGAGCGGAGGTTCGCACGGCATCATTGCCTTTTCTTTCTTCCTTCCTTCTCGTTCATTCTTATGACCTCCTTACGGGAGACTCGGGGAACCACATGATACATCGTCGAAAAATTATAAAAAATATCAATACGTGCGTGGGGTACAAGTTTATCCGGATTTTCGGGAATCGATTTTGGATAAAGTTGTATGATACCGATGGAACAATCGATCGGTGACCTCGGAAGTGATTTCTTAACTCATTGAAAGGTCAAGTTTGTTATATGTTCAACGAAACTAAGCACTATCGAGCACTGCAGCAACGGATATAACTAAGAGTACCATCATCGGGTGTGTTATATGTTGACCTTTGGATCAAAAGTCACATCCAAGATCACCAACCGATCTCCCCTGCGAAGCTATCTACAACATGTTTCCAAAACCGTTTCTGAAACAATGAGATCCAACATAAAGTTTATATTCAATTGCCTTGAGATAAAAACCCTACCCAGTTGTCGTTCTCGCGTCTCCCGAGGAATGAACAAATTCTTTTTTCTTTTCCTGCTCGACGGGACGATCGTCATCACGGCGAGAAAGTTATTGATTTCGAATATGGTCTCTGTTTTTGGAAATAAACGTTGTTTCGCGTTAACTGAAAATCCACGTGACTAAACGTAAACTGTTTCAAGCACGCGAAAGATCGGTATCGAATTTTTTCATCGCGATCAAAATTTCAATGTACGCACATACCTATACTGCTCGGAGATCCAAAATACTGACAAATGTTCACACTTTTTTCAAGAGCGAAACGGACCGACATATTTACATGTATATACCTACATTCCAAGCGTATACCAAAGCCGTTCACCGCTGGATACTGCTTAAAGCTCGCTTTTGCACGTTTGAACAAATCATCGCTCAGCTTAATATTATACATACAATATATTATGGCAGGTGTATGGATCAAAAATTAAATTAAATTAAAAAAAAAAAAAAGAAGAAGAAGAACGGGCTCGCGACCATCAACCCAAAACTAGATGATAGAAAAATAAAATAAAATAAACGTGTGCTTGTGCAAACTCGCGCGTATAGAGCTTCGGTTACCCCGTACGACGAGGATTTCACCGGAGGCGTGGTGGCGCCCGACTTCGAGGTCTACTCCGTGTTCGGCGAGCTGCTCGATCCTCTGATCCGCGATCTGCACAACGTCACCGCGACCGGCAAACTGCCCAACCACCCCAGGCCCCGGTTCTTCAGCCAAGACGACCTTGGCCCCTTGACCAGCGCCAACAACAAGACCCTCCAGAGCACCATACTCGTCCTCGAGGGCAACAACACCGACCCGAGCGGCAAGTACGTGATGGCCGGTGTGATCGAGTGCACGAGGAACTTTGCCGATCACCAGTTACCCCTGACCATGCGGATAAGCGAGCTCGAGGAGACCGAGCGGGTGATCACCGGAGCCCTCATGAGCCCCGAGTTGGCCAACATCCTGGCCGAGGGCTCGAGCGAGGACGAGCCCGGGACGTACTACACCCTCAGCGAGATCCTCGACCCTTTCGCCGAGGTCCGCTCCCGGCTGGCCGCCTCGGGCCTCCTCCTACCGATCACCGAGGCCGAGGAGCCGGACAGCGACGAGCGCAAGCTACACGGCAGACACTGGCCGTACGGCCGTGGTGTTTACTACGCGTCGAGTGGCGACCTCGCCGTGTGGGTGAACGTCCAGGACCACGTGCGCGTGATCTGTTGCAGCGACGAGCAAAAGCCCGGGCTGATCGGCAAGGCGTACGTGAGGCTCGGGAGGCTCGTGACTGCCTTTGACGGGCTGTTCGAGGCCAAGTGGGACCGGAGATTGGGCTTTTTGACCTCGAGGCCGTGCGCGATCGGCAACACGTTGAGGTTCGACCTGATCGTGAGGGTGGCCGGTCTGTCGAAGAGGCCCGACGAGCTGAAGCACCTGTGCGTCGTGCGGGGCTTGAGGATACACCCGACCCTGAGGCGGGACACCGTGAGGATCGGTAACCAGCAGAGCTTGTCGATCGGCGAGCTTCAGACTTACCAGGACTTTGATAGGGCCGTGAACAATGTACTTGTCCTCGAGAAGGAGAACGCGCTCAACAGCTCGGTCACCATTGCCACGGTCATTGCCAACATGTTCAAGCGAAGGAGGCTGTCCGGCTCGAGGAGCTTCAAGGCCTGAACAGAAACGCACAAAAGAGACTTTGTTGCATCCTTTTTTTTTTCTTTTTTTTTTTTTTTTTTTTTTTTTTTTTTTTTTTGTTTGGTTCGTGCGTTCGAGACATTATAACCAGTGTGATTATGTACGACTCTTGTTTTGTAAAAAAAATACGTTAATGGACATAAAGTGATCTCTCGCTACGTATAAATTATATTATGTACAAATAGGCCATCACGGCGCGCTCATCAATTTGGAAAGATGTGTGAGGCAATATGATTCTCTTGGCGAGTTTTGCTCGGGGACCGGCTGATGATAACGTTCTTGGGGTTAGTAATCACGTGAGATTATTTTACTTTAAAAAAATGGACTCGATGACTTTGTTGCCACATTTGGTTCCTATACCGTGTTCCTAAACCCATGTACATGTAACTTGGCGAACCATTGCAATTATAAACTCTGAAGGATAAACATATTTATTATGTTTTTTAAGGCTTCAAAGTGAAAAATACATAAACAAAATGCATAAAATCGATGAATGAATGAAAGAAATAAAAAAACCACGCGCGATGCTACATCGGCTTTTATTATTCTTCCCGCGATCGATGAATGATACATATATATATTTAACAGCAGCACGTGCGGTGATTAGTGGTGACAAATCTATCGACGTCCTCCCTTTGCTCTACATATGCATGTAATGATGCTACATATATCATGCATAAGCTATACCTTCATGTCACTCGCACACCCGAGCTATAAAAAATACACCGATGATGGCAGCAGCAGCACACATATCTTTCCAACTTGATGTTTTTTTTTTTTAATTTCGGTCAAAGTGTGACCTCTGCAATTTTGCTCGGGCGTCAAAAAAGATAAGCCAGGCGACACGAGAAGCTCAATTGTCGTACTTAGTAAATTGTGTTATTGTAAAAAAAAAAACAATAAAAATTACCCATTGATATTGTACGTTTTTGATACATCAGATGTGAAATTCACTTAATTGTTTGGATTGTATACAAATAAGTATTTGATACTGCCTGTAATAAAAAAAAAAAAATTGCCTGCAATCGTTGGTGCATTTTCATTTGTACATACACATGCGACAATTAATCCTCCACAATCATCGCTTGCGTGTGTGTTTGTGTGTAAATGTCCATAGTGTAAGTAGTTGCAACAACATATGTATACATTCGTGGCTTGTCGAACAAACCTTGCACTTCCGTCTCGTTTAATTGTGTCGTTTGGCTGCACTTCCGAACGGAACCACAAATAGGTATACGTTGTGTCGTGAGTCCGTCTCAATGTCACGTTGTGTTTTCAGACGTCGCGTTGGTCCATGAAGAGGACGGCAAGTACTTGGCCTCATGTGAGTGTTTTTATACTCAAAATCGAGTTGATTCAAATACCGATATACCGATCTCTGAGACGATGTCATTTCAGCTCTCGCCCATCCACTGATGAAGGGCCTGTCGGAGGTGGCTTCGACTCGGCCCAGAGATCCCGTGGCCTACTTGGCCACTTACCTCTACAACTTTGCCAACCGGGCCAAGTCGGAGGATGAAAAAACCGAGGTGCGTGTGCTAACAACAAAACGCCACATCGATATAATTATATCTTTGGACCCCGATGATTTCACACTAATTATTGTGATCTCTTAATTGCAGGCCTCGAGTGTGCTGATGATCGAAGAGGTGAAATCCGACGATCAGCCAAAAGACAAGAACGGCGACGCCGTCGACGACGGTTACCCCCAGAGCCCAAACTTGGACGTCCTCGAGTCGCTCTTCTCGGACACCGAGCGGGTAAGGCACATCGTCATTTTTTCTTCCCCATTTCATCAAAGCTGTACGATTAACGCGATGAAAAAAAAAAAAAAAAAAAATCCCTGCAAATAGGACGAAGACGGTCAGAGCTCGTTGCACTACGCGGCCTCCCGATCTCACGCCAAGGACGGTCTGTGTCACGTGCTGCAGGAGCGACAGATCAACATAGCGTGCAGGGATGCGACGTACAGGACCGGCAGGGACGTGGCCGAGCAGCACCAAAATTACGACAACGTCCGAGAGATCGACCGCTTCGTTGTCTATCTAGCGGCTCGGGGTAGGCTGAAATCGCGTACCTTCGATCATCCTTACCAATCTCCCTCGAAATGAATACCTTCCTCTCTCGGCAGGTGAAACGGTGAAACTGGTCGAGCTCATGCTGGCTGGGTACGATCACATTCTGGACGCGGAAGATGCCGGCCAGAACATCCTGCGGATCGCCGAGGAGGAGAAGAACGACGACACGGTCAAGTTTTTGAACTCCATTCAGAACTTTACGGTGAGTTGTTGTTTGCCAAAGGAAAAACGTACGGAGGAAAAATTAATCGCTTCGATGAATCGTCCTGCAGACGATGAGGGACGAGGTCCATCGAGCCGTGAGGATGGGCGCCGAGGGAAGGGTGCAGGAGCTGCTCGAGATGAACAGCGAGGGCTCGACGTACATGGCAATCGCGAGAAATGCGTACGGGCGCACCGCCCTGCACATAGCCGTGCTGAGGGAGAACGAGGGAATCGTGCGCTATTTGGCCGACAATTTTTCCGAGACCCTACAAATTGGTGACAATGTCAGTACACTGTTGATGTAAAGTTTTTTGTGTTTTTTTTCTCGATGGATCAATTTTTTTTTGCCTATTGCAGCTCGAAAGGATGCCCCTGCACTACGCTATGGGCGTGCCATCGGTGGAGGTCATGAGCAAGATTCTAATCAAGGCCGGCGCCAAGAGGGTGCAGAAAGACCTGGTGAGTCCGTTTTGAGAGCTCGTTGGTTTATTTTTTTCTTATTCGTTAGTTTTTAACGCCAAAATTTTTCGGGCTCTCAGAGATCGCGACAGCCGTCGTACTATTTCATGAACAAGACAGACATCAAGCAACTGCAGGACGAAGAAGAGGCGCTGGTACATATGCACTGAAGGAAATCAGAAGAAGAAACAAGGCCAAATATCGTCAAACGTGCTCCTCCACGCATTTTTCATAGAAAAAAAAAAAAAAAACAAGAAAGAAAGACAAGATGCATATTTACATACATACCGTATACTGTACTTTCAATGATAAAACTCGTTGACCGTTCATGTTTCACGTAATTGCAATATACAAAAATCGGTAAAAAATAAATCAATTAATAATCCATATAACGTGCAGGGAAATCATTGGTTTGCGCCTGCATTATACCCTAAGAAAAACAACGCTTTTCTGCAGATTTCTCTCTCATTCTTTTTTATTTAATTTCTCTTTTTCTTATTTCACGACGGACCTTTTGCTCCTCCTACCGGCCAGCGAGCTCTGAGCTTTTGTCTTTGATAGCGCATCGGCACCACCACCGGTGTCCGAATCCTCGCTCGCGTTGTCCACAAGCGGGAGCCACGGGTTGGGATTCGTGAATGCCGGCTTGGCCTTCTGATGGGCTGCAACGTCGTTTACGTAAATAATGAAAAACAAAAAAAAGAGCCCATAAGTACTCACGTAAAAGCCCCTGTGTCGCGGGTCTCGGGGTGTTTTTGGCCTTTTCGCGCCACTCCTCGTAAGCCTTGAGACTCATCTGCAGCCTGCTCAGCTTCTCTTCCTCCGCCTTCTTTCTCTTGGTAAACTCTTCTCTCTCCATAGCTACGACAAGAAAAAGAAGGGAAAGGAAAACAACAACCATTCAAGTACTACGACCAAAGGAAAAAAAAAACGTTGTCCTCACCCTTGATCATCTCATCCTTTCTCTTGTACCACTTTTTCAGGCATACATCCTTGGCGGCCCTGGTCGTCTCCTCGATCTCGTTGATCTTCTTCTGCAGCTCGAGCTCCTTCTCGAGCAGCGCCCTCTTCACCATTTTCTCCCTCTCCTTTCTCCGCCTCCAGTCGACGATGCACTCCACCTCCCTGCGCTCCTTCTCCTCGCGCTCGCGCCTCTCCTGCTCCTCCGCCCTACGCCGCTTCTCCTCCGCTCGGCGCGCCTCGTCCTTCCGCCTCTGGAGCTCCAACTGCTTCTTTTGCGCCCAATTTTCGTACGAGATGTTCCGATCCAGCTGTCTCCCGTTTATCCTCCTGCGCCCGCCTCCACCGCCCTCGGTGCTCCGCTGCACGGAGGCCTCGCTCTCTACCTCAAACTCATCCTCCTCCCCGCTGAGCGGACTCGCCAGCACCACCTCCTGCTCGTACCTCCTCCTGGTAGCTCCGTTATTCATTTGTGTGTTTGAGAATATAAGCCACAGCGCGTACCTTGGATCTGGGGGCTCGGTGTCGCTGCCGATCAGCCGGAAGTTCTCGTTGTCGTCGTCGTCGACGAAGCTGAAGGGCTCGCACTCCTCGTCGTCGCTGCGGAACTCGTTGAACGAGTGCGTCGAGTCGGGGCAGCCCGAGCTGCGCTCCGTGAGGCTCAACCTGGACAGATCAGAGCCGAGAGCGCTCGAGTCCCCGGCGCCGATCTCCAAGGCCCGCTGCCGGAACGGGCCCTCGGCGCTGGACCCCGATACCCGCCTGCGTTTGCAAACGACCGGTTTAATCGTCTCCCGGGAGCCAGGGGGGGGGGTGGTGGCCGGTTACCAGGAGCTCCCCCCGCGCTCGTCGTCCTCGTCGTCGGCCTCGTCGTTGCGGGCCTCGGCCGCGCGGAAATCCGGCCCCGAGCGGGTGTGCCGGGCTGGCTCGCGGTGGCGCCGGTGCTGCTGAAAGTGCTGCAGCACGAGGTTCGCGTGCTCCGAGTAGCTGCGCGTCAGGCCCGCGCGCCCCTCTCCGGCCATCGTGGCTGATGCTCGTTTTGCCTCGACCGGACCCCCTTGGGTTTTTCTCTTTTTTTCAACCAAACGAGATTTTAGGTTATGTCGACCCGATACGAGTGTCCGTTGTTCGCGCGACTGTTGATTGTTTCTCGATATTCTCACTGCCGGTCTGCAGGACACGTTAATTGTCTTTCGATCTTACCCCGTGGGTGTTTTTGGACCCATGGAGTTATTAATAAATAAGCCAAAAGATAAAAACTTTCCACTGAATGCGTCTTTGCACCTGGCGAGTATGGCAATGATGCGCGGGGACGGAAAATTCCGAGTCCCGGAGATAAGGGGCACAAAGTATATAAACATATGTAATCGTTTGAATCTCAGCTAACGAGTTTTTAGTACATACATCCGTAGTTGATAATGCTTGCGATGATTATCAATGATTTTCGTGCAAAAGGATGGGATAGGAAAATTATACTTATCCCAAGACGATCTGCTTGAACAGCCCGTAATGACAATGAGCGCGGGTCAGTGACATCTGCAGGGAAGATCAACGTCCGTCGAAAACTTTGCGTGTCGCGATACTTTGATACTTACCTACACCAAGAGCAATATTTACAAACTCGGTGGTGAAGTTTTTAAACAAATTCCTTCCGTAAGTAGATGACGAAAGATTCAAAGTAATAACATGCGATTAAAAGCGCTTCATTTGACGAAACGACGAGGATCCAAACATAAATTTTTACTTCCATAATGTCATAGTTAAATAATACTTATTCCTTGACCAACAACATTAATCAATGCGTTATTGTTGTCACGAAATTGTTTCTCAGATAAACTTGTTTTCAAGCACATTCTTTAACAGTTTATCAGCTATAATAAATGTTTTTGTTTCTCAGTGTGGAATGATCATCTCTACCACACTTTTTTGAACGTTATTTACAAATGTTTTAATTGTAACAATCGTACATTTAATTTTACGTTTATTTTCGAAAGAAAATCAATAGGAACGAAGAAGTTGCTTCAATAATTTAATAATTACTGGAATAACATTCTCAAAGAAGTTATGACAACAACATTTTGAAATATAAGCAGTCATTTATGAGGAATGCAGCAATGTAATTAAAGTAGTTTCGAGAAAGATAAATTTTTGTAAGGCATTATTGTTCAATATTTTTTTTTTACTTTTTAAATTATTATTGTTTTTTTTTTTTAACAATAATTGTAGAAATGAAATCAAATGGTTGCAAAAACATGGGGCAATGGTGAAAGAAACTAATTATAAAACAATAATACGTATGTATGTATAAACCAATCAAGTACTGTAATCACGATACTTTTTTTAAATATTATGGTACTACCATCTTAATTCACAATTGCGCGATTATTGCATTTTTGAAAAATTATCGCAACAATGATGATACGCGACGGCGAATGCGTTTAAAAACTACATAATTACACACGTACAACACGTATGGAAGCTGCGTGAAATTTCCTCGCGATTTTTTTTTCTTTTTTTTTGTGATTACTAAAGCTCGTCAATCCTTGCGATTATTACACGTTGTTTCATTGGTAATTAAATTCAAAAACTCGATAAGCTTATCGAAGCTGCTTTGAGAGAGAAAAAGTGCACGAACGCGCACGTTTTTTTTCGCGCAATCGGCTGATAAAGGCATCTCAAAGGATTTCGCCTTATCGGTGCACAATGCATGTTATACGGCATTAACGGGCACGTGCACAAATATTCGTAAGCATCACACGATCGACAGCCGGAGACTGAAAAATTCTTTCGATACAATAAAATTAAGCCAAACACTTTGTTGCTCGAATTTATCAACCACTTGTCTCAATACAACGACATAAAATGCAGTTTTTTTTTTTTCTTTTTCTTCTTTACCCGCCATTGTTTTTAACTGATTCGAAATTACCGATTTAATTCGAAATAATTAAATTATAATTATTTGCTTTTGAATTAATAATTCTGTATAATTTTTTCAGTGGTATTTTTGAAATCTAATAATAATTGATAAACAGATTGCATTAAAAATCGCCCAGGGATGTAGGATAAAGTTTATCACTGTACGATTTGTAGATCAAATGAAAATTCGTAAAAAAAACTTGATCGTTTTCGAGAAATATGTTTGAATTTTGGTGAAGGTGTAGGAATTTTATGAAAGTTAAACGATTGGATTTGAAAATTATGCGCTGTGGAAATTCGCAATACTTGAGGAAAGCGTACCTATTTATTTTTTCTTTACTTAAAATTCCGAGAAATCGATAGCTTATCCTTAATACTTTATAAAACTAAATAATTCGCATAGCGACGCCAGTTATTTATACGCCCACGTACACGTATAGCCAATGCATAAATGGAAAAAACAGCTGATCGCTATGTACAAGTGCATCTTTACCTTGAAAGACAGAACAACAATTCATCCTTATCGCTATAGCATCGCTAAAAGTGAAAGAAAAAAAAAAAGAAAAAATTTTAAGAAAAAAGGTCAGAATAATTCTAACACTTCACTATTGAGATGAATGTTGTTCCGCGATAATAAACAAAAACACTCGTACTTGTTTATCTGAAGTATCTCTGTAGACGTAATGTCTGCAAGATTTTGTTTTAATCCAGACAACTTGGCTCGCTATATTTTACCGTTCGGTTGTACCACTATGACTTATCTTTCTTCACGTAATTAATCAATTTGGATAGCTTTTAATTATAATGTCGCTTCAAAAACTATCCAACCGAAGCTAGTCAGCTACATTTTTTTAATTATTAAATTATCATGGTTTGTAAAAGAATGTGCTCACTGAAAATTTCCTTGAAGAAAAAAATTAACAATAGAATTTTTAACTAAATACAGACTTACTTACATAATATAATTAGAAAAAAAAAAAACAACAGACATTACACTTGTAACGTAGCTGTAGTATGTACAATAACAGGTATCGGTTACGCATTGGGTCACGTGAGAAATTGAAAAACTACGATATAATTACGACGCTAATTATTCCTCAGCACTGCTTCAATAACCACGTAATTTATTTTTAACGCTTGTCGATTTTTTTTCCAGCGTCCCGTTAATGCTTGCCATTGCAATCCTTTTTTTTTTTTTTTTTTTTTTTTCTCGTATACTTATAGCTTTGCGCATCTATTTTTTTCTTCCATATACTTATCTACATTATAAAGTGATCCGACTTGCTCAATGTGTACAATTATTATTGAGGCTCATTAGGTGCTCGTCGTTTCTTACGCTTTTTTTTTCACGCGCGTTAATTTTGCACTATAGATCAAAGAACTGTATGAAACTTTGTTTCTGTCTTTTTTTTTTTTTTTTTTTTTAGTTAGATTCAGTTTTCTATCCAATTTTGTGTACGTCATTATGATTTTCAATTTAAAGTTTTTAACATTTCAACTCGGGTATTTCCTTCTTATGTAACATCATTTAAAACGTTTTAGAGCTAATCATCATTCCTCCTTTTTGTTTCGTGTTTCAACACTCCCGTATAGTTTATTTCTCTCGTGTCAGACCAACTTGTACAATTGGGATCCTGCATTAATCTTAAAATTAAAATTTTTTCCATTCATACCTTAAATTTTAATTGTTTTCTTCATTCGTTTCCTGTTTTTTTCCCCCTCCTAATGCGTATTGTGTAACAATTATATTTTTAATTGTTAATACTCGAGTATACACTCTTGTCATGCTTAACGGAATTTCCAAATTCCACAGCTCAACTGCGCATTATCTCGGTTATCAAACTTCACAAACACTTTCCTTTCTTCTTCATAGTGCCAATACTTATCGATCGCCCCAACTGAAATATCTGTGTTTTATCTATAGTATCGACTTCACAATTTCCGACCACTTTACGCTTTCTTCCTTTTTTTTTTTTTTTTTTTAATAAAAAAAAAGTACATTAAATTTATTATTATTATTACGGTAATTTTACTTATTTCTAGTCTCTAAAGACTTGCATTGATTGACAATCAGACATTTTCATTATTGGACAATGTAATTGACTTTCATGGGGTAGTAGTCCATGTGAAAAGCAAAGATAGCCATGCCATTATCGACATTCGTTGATATTTAGGTATACAACTCAAATTTTTACGGGAGACACCTTCGACTGTCATTGCGTATATATAATGTATGTATACCTTCGAGCTTATCTTGAAAAAGTTCGAGTGCGCATCGCGAGATTTAGCTCAAACGTCTCTCTCATCTTATTTTTCTTTGTCTTCGAGGATTACGCTTTATTGCTCTGGTGCCTTAATCCCTTCGCACCGCTGCTCGCGAAATGGCACAAACAACTCGCGCGTTTTCTTTGGCTCTTAACTCTGCTCTGGATGAGCGGGAAGCTGACGAAAAAAAATCCGCGGTAACTATAGCTTACGCGTTTAACGTTCTTTCGCGGAACAGCAAAACTTTTTCCGGTTTTTTATCGGTACTTTGTGACTGGCACGTGGGAACTTGATCGTTTTTGCGACCAAGTGAGGGTAAATGAAGCCATTTCGAAGTTTCGATTTTCCATTCTATTGGATAGTTGTCGCTGACTCATTTTCAGTTTTAATATGACGCGTTTTCGAGACAAACAGCTTGGAGCTATCGTGTTTTTTTTTTACAATAGGAATTTTTATTATTTTCAAATATACAGAATTTAATTGTTTGACAAATATATAAAACGTGTAAAAAGAGACAATGGAGAGACGCGAAATTACTTTGTTGTTAGATTTTATTGTAGTAATCTCCGTTTGTTTTCAAAAGTTGAACTTTATTTAACTATTTTAAAATTAAAAATCAACGAGTTACGTGCTCGCTGGAAATTTGCGGGTATACAACCAAAGTTGGTCGGAAAGGATTAAATTATATGAAATAATAATGTACACAAAAAATATACGATTCGTTCGCATTAACGAGATCAAGGTCGTATCGTAGCTTTAGATAACTCATTTCTGTAAACAAACAAATCGCGTAAGTACATTAATGTTCAAGGCAGCAAAACTTGTGCACACATCGAACGCGAAGGCATTTTTTTTTCTTCTTTCACTTCCGATTTGTATATTTCTTTTTTTTTTTTTTTAATTATTATCATGCGCACACATGTATCGGGACAATTGAAAAAAGAAACGGTTCGCGAAGCGCACATTTTTCAATGGCAATCGACAGACTCAATGAATTTCATTCGCGCGATACCGATTGTGCAAAAATATACTGCATCCAATGCCGATACACCGCGTGCTCTCGAGCACACCGACGATAGTAATTAATTATGTCACCGCAAACATAAGTGTGTGTATACTTGACATTGTTTATCGCACCGAAGCCAACTCTCGTCATTTGGTTGCAGAGTGAAAATTGATTTAATCGCGAGCACAAGTATACAGGTACCTAATATGCACAATCGCCCGTGATTTTCAACTTCGGGACTGCACAAACCTTTCCTTATCGGTATAACCCCCTTTTTGTTATTCTTTCCGGGAAAAACACGTCATTGTTTGGGCAAGTGTACTGTTTCAATCGACGATTCGAGGATGTAAAAATTTGTCTTGTGATTCGCTCGCGGAAAAACCAAATCGTCATGTCCTTCCCGTTCGATCGACGCCCGTTTTCGTTCGATTTAGTCACCGATACAACGAAATCGGCCAATTTAGGTCTCGTTGCCGATCGATATTTAATACGTTAAAACGTAGGTTCGGTCCTGCAACTGTGAATTACCTAAATCGGTCTCGAGGCGTGACGCACCAACACAATCATACACTATAAGTATAATATAGAGTGGCTTAAATGAATTTAAGGGCGCGCTTTTACGCACGAGCATACGATTGCTGCGATGCATATCTCTGAGTGGGCTTGCGATCGGTATCGAGCGACGCGTAGATTGAATATCGTCCACGCGCGGGAACGAAACTTTTTCGGTTCGGTATCTCTATGGTATTACGTTACGTGGGAAGGACACTTGAGATATATTTTTTTAGTTGGGACACGTACTATACGACGGCGTATCTATCTTTCTCTGCATGTATACCGATCAAATGCTTTGTCGATCTCCAATAGAACATAATCGATGAGTGCATAAATCGATCGTATCCCGATAACTCTTGTAATGTACGCATGCGCCCCTAATGCTATACTCGACCGTTGATAGACGATTGTTTTCTCAGAAAAGGGCAATCAAAAAGCATAAAAAGCTGTACATGTGCGTAAGCGACCATAACTACAAAGAGGACAAAAAAATGAGTATTTATTATCAACTAATGGACTCGGCCGATGATCTTCCACTTCCTACTCGTGGAGATATTTCTACACGTGAGCGATGAAGAACGAGAATAATGTGCCATATGCAACTATAAGTTGTTTCTTAAAGTGCAGGGAGAGGAGAGAGAAAAAAAATGCGATCAACTAAGCGCGCGCGTAATTGCACTTAGGCACGCGCAATTGCTTGCCGGCGCGTATAGATACGTTAGATCGGTATATATCGGCAAAATCAACCGGCGTAAACAATGGAAGAAAATGAAGAGAAAACAAACGCGTCAACGCGAGAAGAGACAATAGATCGAGAGCGCGTGCATCGATATATCCGAGTCGCGCCGGTTTTTTCTCGCGCCGATCGCGACCGATCCGACTCGCGAAAAATCAGCGAGCTTCCAAGGGGACAAAATAAACCGTCATCCATGGAAAGTGCGTAGAACAACGCCAACTGGATAGCACCGGACGCTACCGATGCCGATTTCCACCCGAGAAACAAACGCGCGGCCTCAATGCTCGCCACAAGCGAGCGGAGTAACGATTTCATTAAACGCCGGGGTATTAATATGTGTATCGATGAACGCGAGGGGGGGGGGGAGCTCATCATCGGAGGCATCGGCGACGACGAATGAGGAGCCGATGATGCTCCGCGGTGGGGCACGTCGAGCTACTCTCTCGCCGCGGGCTTTTGGGCCGTCAGTTTCTTTCGGCGCTCGTCGCACCGCGGTCGCTCCACCTATTGCATGCACTTGCACCTAAGCACTACGCTCGCGAACCCAAAGACCAGTCTTGTCCTTTGTCGCGAAAATAAGTAACCAATCCCCTCCCACGGGTTGTTCCGCATGACTCGTCTTTGCACTGTTGTGACCAACCGATTTTTCCCCCCCGAGCCCCGCAGTAAATAAATCCACGTCAACGACAGCGGTGGTCTGGAAAACCCAGAAGCGAGAAAAAGTAACGGATTGCCGGTAGCGAGGGCGCGTGAATCCCGGGAGTCAGCGAAAATTTCGAAAATCGACCGACCAATCAACAATCGGTCCCCGTTGTTGCTCAGCAAACACGGCGGCGAAAAAACGTGCGTCTCGAGGATAAGGAGCCGGGCGCACAAGAAGCTTATCCTGGGAATGCATAAGACTCGACGAAAAACTCGCAACTTGCTGTTTTACCGCTGAGCCGGCCCAACGAGCCCCTCGGACAGCCCACAGGATCGGACGACGCGGGTATACAAGCTTTTACCGATCTCTTATATATACGTAACGATAATACATAATATACCACACCGGCGTGCCTAAACTGTTCGTCGGCGCGTGTGCTTTTGTCTGTGTGTGGGTGTACATACATGTGTGTGCGGGTGTTTGCCGTCGGCGAGCACTTGTTGGCTTGATTGGCGTGTCCAGCTTCCTTCCCCGTTGATTTGCTCAGGTACGTATGCGCGAATAATTCGTATATTTCGTAACCGCCAAATGACCGATTACGTGCATATATACATGCGTATAATGTATACGTTCCGCCGACGCCGGTGTTTGTGAAAATTGTCGCGGTGACTTTTGACGGATTGAGGAAGTCCGCTGGAAGTCTTTTTTTTTTTTTTTTCTTCTTTTTTCTTTTTTCTTTTTTCGTTTTCGAAAGTAAATTCCCAAACTTACATTTTCTTATGTATAAGTATATGAGCGTTCAAATAAAAATGTGACATTTAACATGAGACGATGCACAATGTGAAAATGTGACATAAGGTACGGTCATACTCGTATGCCTAATTGTTTCGTAAATTAATAAATTAACGTACTTCGTTGTGTAATTTAATATGACCTATTAATAACGATGCGGTGGTCGCACTGAATTAATTTTAATATCATGAATTCTTTTGAACATCCAACTTATTCTACATTCGTTTGCATTACACAAATAAGATGCGAGTATTCAAATACAATATTGACGTCTGAACACTCCGTTGCGTAAAAAATGCTCTATTTACATTGTTTTTTTTTTTTTTTTTTTTTCAGGTAGACTTGATAACCATGTACATAATTTCATTCACTCGATCAGTCATTGGGTGAAAAAAATTTAAACTCAATTCCTATCGATGTCACTTTGATTAATTAAATTGTCGTTACTGTAAAAAGGAAGCTCGATCTCGTCATTCGTTTTATATAAGTATAGGCGTGTTTAACGATTGATTGAACGATTTATAATTAAAGACACCGTGTTGGTGTGAAAATCATTCAAAACATTCAAATCGTCCCAATGGTATATTGTGTACGTGGCGGTAGTTGGTCGTAAGAAAAAACTCCCGAGACGTCGGTTCCTTTTTTCATTGGCACTTTTGCAATTAGGCGCGTTCCCGAGAACAATTAAACGATTGAGCCAATTTGCTTAAAAGGGAAGCTTACAGGTATGGCACGAGGTTTCTTTTTTTCGACTCCTTCAACTCCAACGTCGCATTTCACTTAATAACAAAACTATTATCTACGCTGACCGAAAAATCGATTTTTTTTTGTCAACTGTTCGGTAATAATTGCACTAACCACTTCATAAACTCGACACGAGGATGGGGACGGTATTTTTCCGTAAACACAGCGGCGAAACAGTGCCAACCTTTGGATTTACAGAGCATCGGCGGCTCTAATAAGTCTAATGATTGAGCGCACCTCGAAAAGAAAAAAAAAATCGAATTCATTCCATGTTTGTTCTATTTTTTTTTTTCCCTCCGGAAAAATGCCTGTACACCAACTCCAAGGTTCTAAGAAACGTATTATTTAGCAAAAGAAAAAAAAAAAAAAAAAAAAAAAAACAGTAGTCGCGACCGGTTATGGATGCGTAATCATATCGCCGTGCTCAAGGTTTTAGTGGACTGGAAAACTAGGATTTATATTAACCGCCCATAGATGTTCATCCGTGACAATTGCGATTTTATTTAAATTAATTTGGCTTCTTCTTAAACAAGTATTTGTTACGAAAGTATCCGACAGCGACCCGAAATATGGCACGTCAATGCGTTTAATTTGCATAAGAAAATTTTTCCTCGTTTGTTTTGGTAATCAAGCCACCCTCGAGGAGATTCAAAATTTGCGCGCATCGTAGCCGTCGTGTGTTTGGAAGAAAGAAAAAAACAAGAAAAAAAAAAAAAAAAAAAAAAAAAAAAAAAAAAAATTGGATTTTATATAATTGTAAATGCGTTGTTATTCTATAAATTGTTGATATAAATTAAAGAGAGAATCACCGTCGAAACCCAAGATGTTTATCGCGCGCAAACATTTATAAGACATGTGCTCTCGTTGCTTCAATAAGATTTGCACTGCGGGAAAAAAAGTGTGTCACCACTTGACTTTAATTCGCGTATCATAGGTAAATGATGCGCGATAGTCCTCGAGACATTGTTTTTTAATCTAACTTCGTTCGACTCGAATGGCACGCGACACTGCATGAGTTATTTATTTTTTTTTTAACTTCCATTACTTTTGCATGTCAGAATCAAAAGTCCATTCGATTAACGTCTAAAAAAAACCCTTTCTTTTTTTCTTGCAGCTGGTATACATAATCAATCAATTGTTCTGGATAGTTGAATATCATACAACAAATATAGTTATGACTAGCGTGAATGGTGAGGATTTTTTTGTTTTGCCGATTATCAGTAATTAAAATTATAACGTGTGCTCGATTAAATGGAAAATGCATGTATTCTGTCTAGGAGTGAAAGACAGGAAAGATACCGAAGTTACCGCTCAGATAATCAAGGATAGTCAGGATGAACGCATGGTACGCTGAGATACGGCATTTACTGCTGTCCACGATTTCTCCTTTATTCATTTACTTTTTTTATAGATGAAAAAAAAAAAAAAAAAAAAAAAATCAAATCGATATTTTACGGTGTAGGAAGCTTACGGTTTCGAGGTGCATCTCATCTACACGTTACTCACCTTCGTCGCCTGCGTCCTGAGCCTCGGCTCCCTGCGTCTCTTCTTCCACTGGTACCCGCACCTCTACCTCTACGCCACCCACAAGAAGTGCGACCTCGGCCGAGCTACCAAAATCCTCGTCGTTGTACGTACACGTACTTACCTACAATATACCTACCTTTTGCTATATTATCACCATCAAGTTTGTTTCATTGACTCCGGGGCTCCTTTCAGGATGACTACCAGGGCAAGTACAAGTCTTACATCGTCAAGGAAGTCAAGACGGTGTCTACCAAGAATTTGAGGTTCGTCGTACGAGTACCTACTCGCTAAATCATCATTTGTATCTTTAACAATACATTGTTTTTTTTTTTTTTTTTTTCCATCTCCCTCTCGAAGGCATATTCCGTACAAATGATCAATCTGTTGTTCTATTTTTTTTCCGCGTCGCGATAAAAAGAGAGCAATGTATACATAAAAGCCATCACAAGTAGTAACGATAATGCCAAATCGCTTGTACGTACGCGTATTACATTACCATGTAGTATGTATAACCGTGGTTTTTTTTCTTTTCTCGTATTATTTTTTTCAACGCGCGTTCTCACTCCGAGCGATCTATTCATAATTAACTATAAAATACGAATGGACGGAGAGGAAAAAAAAAAAAAAAAAAAAAAAAAAAAAAAAAAAAAGAAATCAGCACCAATCGATCCCACCAATGAATCGTACAACTAATGTGGGACTTTGGTGGCGCGCAGCGCGAAATCCTTGGGGCGCAAGTTCGAGCGGTCGAGCGCCGAGCTGGTGGAGAAGGTACGGGACGGTTGGCTCGAATTGAACCTCGAGAACGGGAGCAAGAGAAGGGTCCAGGAGTACAGGGCGTTCTCGTGCAAGAAGCAGTGCTACGTGTGGGATGATAAACAAGCCGAGTTCTCGAAGCTGGCGAGCGTCGAAAGGTACGCCCTGTGCGTTGACCTGCACGCGGAGAAGGCCAAGGGATTATCGCGCGAGGAACAACTGCTACGGTAAGTCGTGCCCTTTTCAACGTGGTGCACCGCGAGTCTCTGTTCTTTCGAGCCAGCTGTACACACCGAGTGTGCAACGACTCGGACTTTGCCCGCGAGCTCTTTGGTCAACGAAGGAGCACTGCATAATGTACACCACACGCATGACGTAACGTTTCACAGCCGCCTCATGTACGGATACAACGAGATTCTCGTGCCGGTGCAGAGCTTCCGCGTCCTGTTCGTCCTCGAGATCCTCAATCCGTTCTACGTCTTCCAAGCCTTCAGTCTGGTCGTTTGGTTCAACGAGGGCTACGTCCACTACGCCGTGGCCGTCGTCCTCATGTCCCTCTTCGGCATCCTCTCCTCGATCAGGCAGACCCGCGCGGTAAGTATACCTATCATACATGGTTTGTTTACGTTTTTGGCCCAAACAAAATGGAGAAGAAAAAAGAATATGTGGTGCTCGCACGTGTCAATCTATGAAATTGTGTCATTGCCGCCCATCACCCGAACGGCGCGGGTATACGAAAACAATTTCATTTCTCTCTCTCTCTCGAGTATATAATTATAGTGCCCGGTATATGATACAAAAAAAATTAAGATCAATCGGCCGTCGATTGCGCGAAGGAACTATATATATTGTGTGCATGATATCGAGAGTAGAACCAGATCAGTCTGAGGAACACGGTCGCCTCGACGGAGAGGGTGCGCGTGTTGCGCAGCAGCGGCGAGTACGAGAGCATATCGAGCGACGAGCTCGTACCCGGGGACATAATCGAGCTGCCGAGGCACCGGGCCGTGGTCGCGTGCGACGCCGTTCTACTGACGGGCAGTTGCATCGTCAACGAGTCGATGCTCACGGGTGAGTTTTTTTTTTTTTTTTTTCTTTTGTTTTCGTTGCCCGATGTTGACACGTTTTTTTTTTTTTTTTTTTCGTCTAATCCCAGGTGAATCGGTCCCGGTGACCAAGACGCCCCTGCAGTCGCACGCCGTGCTCTACGACGCCAGGGGACACTCCCACCACACGCTCTTCTGCGGCACTACCATCATCCAGACAAAGTAAATTATTATTATTATTATTATTATTTGCGTATGCAATATACGTGTGTGCCAGAGAGTTTGTATAATTTTGGTACGACCGAGCTCAGGCAGTACGGGGACAAGCCGGTGCTCGCCAAGGTCATCCGTACCGGGCTGTGGACGACCAAGGGCTCGCTGGTCGCCGCTATACTCTACCCACCGCCCACCGACTTCAAGTTCGACCAGGACTCGTACAAACTCGTCGGGATCCTCATCGGGGTTGCCTTCCTCGGCTTCTTCTACACATTGGCCGTCATGGTAAGGAGTTTCTCTCTTCTCTTCCTTCGGCAAGCAGTGCCGAGCTGTCGATATACCCCTATTGAATTATTACCTAATCGAGTCGAACGTTAAGCGCACCCAACTGGTTCGAACTGGACTCGGAGTGTGTTTGCCAATGATTGCTTGTGCAACGTGGCCCAAACCTTTTTTTTTTCTTCTTCTCTTCTTTTTCTCAATTTTCTCGTTTCCAAACTCGATCGGCGCAGATCGCGAGGGGCAACACGCTCACCAACATACTGATAAAGACCCTCACGGTGTTCACGATCGTCATACCACCGGCCCTGCCCTCGGTCATGGCAGTGGGCAAGATGTACGCGATATTCCGGCTGAAGAAGAGACAGATCTACTGCATCAACACGCGAGCCATCAACATATCCGGCAGCATAGACTGCGTCTGCTTCGACAAGGTGACTCTTTCTTTCTTTATTTTGTTCTCAATAAGGATTTTCACGATTTCGTTGGCTTGGGAAAATCGTTTTTACGTAATCCCAATTGCCCCGCACAGAGTTTGCCGGAAATTTCAAATTTCATTCTCCTCCTGGCGTTGCGTAATCTCGTGTGGCGTGTGTAAGACAAAACATACTCTCCCGAAAACCAAGTACAAGGTGCTTGCAGATTTTGTTTGTTTGTTTGTTTTTTTTTTTTTTTTTTACAATGTCATTAGTTGTGTTTAATTCTTCAAAAATTTCTTGCTGAATATCNTCTCATGCTTTTTGTTTCCTAGTTTTTTTTTTTTTTTTTTTTTAATTTTTTTTTTTTTAACTGCTCGTGGGTAAGTATATGTCGACATTTGTATACGTTTAAGTATATTATATAACGGTTGAAAGAAGTTTAATTTGATCGAGTGGTGATGGTTGTGGTGATGGTCTGATTGATTGGGACTCGCTTGTTTGCGCATCACTTCTTCCGTCAGCATAGCTCGGACACCTCGTCGATTGACAATTTTACCCTCGCAACTCGCAACCTGTCATCACTCTTTTTCTCTCCCTTTGCTTTCGACAGTCTTGACTATGTCAAGCTAACGATATCAAATTTTCTCTTGGAAAAAGAATTTCTCGTCGATTGGTTTTTGGTGTACGTAACTTTTCCCTTTTTTCCTATACCTCGCAAAAATTTACAAGCTTAGGACTGAGCTCTATCTACATATCTTTATGTAAAAAAACTTCATGAATGAACAAGTTGAACAAGTTGATAAAATTGCCCTTAATCTGAGCCTGATACAAGAGAAACTTTATATTTTTTTCTGTTCATATTCTTATCAATAACTCTTGCATACAGGTACGACAAAAAAAAGATAAAAAAACAAAATCCGTTTCGATGTACTAAAAGAGAGAAAAAAAAAAAAAAAAAAAAAAGCCGTTTCTCGTGTGTACAGACAGGAACTCTGACAGAGGACGGGTTGGACATGATGGGCGTCGTGGTGCACGAGGGAAACAAGCTGAGCCAGCCGGAAAAGGACGTCACTAAGCTTAGGGACGCGCGGATATTCAAGGGGATGCTGGTGTGCCACAGCCTTACGATCATCAACGACGAGCTCAGTGGTGATCCCTTGGACGTGAAGGTGATTGAGCGGGGGGGGGGGGGACCAACTCGTTTTACCGCACACGATGCTCAAAGTGGATATTATTTTCTTTAATTGGCGCTTAAAAGTATCGATCGCCACGATGACATGACAAATCGGTTGAAACCTGTTTGGCGATACGCGGAATGAGACGTAAAGTGTCTACGGGCAAAAGAAAAGAAAAAAAAAAAGGGGGGGGGCGTCACTCTAATTCCGAACAAATAGTAATAAATATTCAACGAGAAAAAAAGAAAACCGCGATCGGATCTAGATCGCGCGCGCATAAATCATCTCGGTTCGCTGCAGGTGTATACCGATATTACCGATCCTGTTGACATTAATTTAATTAAAATGTCGATTGGCGTTGAAAAAACGACACCACGCAAACAATGGCCGAATCAAGATAGGAATTTCTTGTATATGATATATCATTATTTCGCATACGAGATCGGCAAGGGAAACACAGCGATTTTACATTTCCCAAAATATACAGATGTTCGAAAGCACCGGGTGGGAGCTGTACGAGCCGGAACTGATAGCCGATCCGATCCACCGGGGCTCGAGTCTCCAGGCCCTGTCGATAATCCGAGCGCCCAAGTCGAGCAAAGACAACGACGACGACGACGACGACGACGGGAGCATGGAGATCCTGCAGCAGTACCAGTTTTCTAGCACGCTCCAGAGGATGTCGGTGATAGCGAGGAGGCCCAAGGACGGCCGGTTCGTCGCCTACACCAAAGGCTCGCCCGAAATGATACTGAGCATGAGCCTCAGCCGGAGCGTGCCTGCGGATATCATGGACACGCTCAGGTGCTTCACCGAGCAGGGATACAGGGTCATTGCCGTGGCTTGCAAGGACATCGAGGCACCCGATGGACAGGTAAGAGTCATAATGATAGTTATTTGGAACAAAGAAATTGATATGATGGGAGATTGAAAGTCCAGTTAGCGCGCGACAATGTCAGGAAGAAAAATACAAGTCCACGGTTAGAGTTATGTAAGGGCTACGTTGTGGCGAGCGAGTCATAATCTCTGAAATGGCAAGGAAACGAAGAAAACTGTGCAAAGCACAGCAAAGCCTTTCGTAAAAATTAATTCAAGATTTAATATTAGGAAAATGTCTGTGGAAAATAGTTGGACGAAGCTTCGTGCCAATTAGCGGATGGCAGAGATGTTATTTTTTTTTTCTCTTTCCTTTTAATTTATGCAAGTTGCCAAGTGCAGAAGCCGGTCGATCGAGGATAACCAAATGATTTTCTAGCTATTATCGATTTCCGATTGCATTGGGGGGGGGGGGGCAAACGTTGTTCGATGAGAGATTTGTAGGCCATCTCGCTAATCGATTTAGCATGTTTTCATTGTATCCTTGGACGAAAAAAAGGAAAAAAAAAAAAAAAGTACAGTGGCATACATATTCTTGCTCGCTGATGTATGATGATTGTCGGGCACCTCGCGCGAGCAAGTCATGAGCACTTTTGTGCAATTGTTATTACATAAATCGATTTTTCGCCCAATCACGCGCGTATACGAGTTGAGAGAGAAATTACAGTTTGGTTTGTAAATTGATTAATCGTTTTATCCTCGAGTGATGAATTGCGATGAAAATATCATTCTCTGTTCACCATACGCTAATAGGCTTGAGTTTCAACCAATTGATTATATACACCTAGTGGGTACTTTAATTTTCCCAACTTTATTGATAATTTAATTGTAAAATCTTTCACTCGGATGTGCATGATGAGTAAAGATTCAGCGAGCCTTGGAAAACTTGGCGTTTATCATTTGATGTTTCGATAGCACAGTTATATTTAAAACATCAATCTTTTGACAAAGTAAAACCACACCGAGTGAATAGAGCGATAAATTACACGATTGCAGGTGCAAAAAATCCCAAGGGAAGAGGTGGAAAAGGACTTGGAGTTTCTCGGCCTGATAATCCTCGAAAACAGACTAAAGTCCTCGACGATCAAAGTGATCAAGGATCTCAGGGAAGCCAACATCAAAACCGTCATGATCACTGGTACCCAAGTCGCTAAGCTGTACTTAAAAACAAAAAATTCTAAACAATTAATAAAAAAAAAAAAATGTAAAATTTCCAGGCGACAATATCCAGACGGCAATAAGCGTGGCCAAAGAGTGCGGGATATTGTCGCAGAGCGAGATAGTCGTGAGCGTCTCGGTCGTGCCGTCCGACAACAAAGACAGGCCCGAGATCTACTTCAACGCGCAGGGAGCGCTGCAATTGGTAAACAATGCATTTCGCACTAAACTTATTCTGCGGCGATACCACATTGCACAAAAAATCTCCCTCTCTCTTATATGGCTTTGTTCTCCTCTTCGAGTTATGCGATAATACGCCAAGCGCAGCGGCGCGAGACGTGCTTGGATCGCCATTAAAATGCTTAAGGACAGATATACCTATATAAATGAATGTGCCATTTGAGCAATTACCGAGAGATCGGTATCGAGATTGCATACTTACATCAAACGTGGATTTTATTCCTCATGCTTCGAGGTTTTTTTTTCTTTTCAACTATGTACTTATCGATTGGTGCAGGAAAAGAAACTCAAACCCTCGTCCCTTGACGACCTGGAGTTCGGGGGCTACTCGAAAAATTACAAGTTCGCGCTGACGGGCGACACGTGGCAGTTGTTGCGCGAGCACTACAACGAATTGCTGCCGAGGATTTGCACCCGAGGTGTCGTCTTCGCCCGAATGAGCAGCGATCAGAAGCAGCAGCTCGTCGTCGAACTCATGCAGCTCGGCTATCACGTCGGTTAGTGGACCTCTTTTTTTTTTTTTTTTTTTTTTTTATTTTACTACTTGATTTGGATATTTTTATGTGTATGTGTAACTGATGAATAATTTAAGCCATGTGCGGCGACGGTGCAAACGATTGTGGCGCACTTAGAGCCGCTCACGTCGGGATTTCGCTCTCCGAAGCGGAATCGAGGTAAAAAAAATTTCATGCATTCTTGGACTGATGAGAAGTGATTTGTGGGCGGGAAGTCATTCAAACAACGTATTGATTCCTTTTTTTTTTTTTGTTCAACGCAACTCATTTTTTTTATTCCCCATCTTACAAACATTACAGTGTGCACGCAGTGAGTCTGCGCTTTTAATTGATAACGTTGAGAAATTTTAGTACGTTTCTTTCAAACTCAGTAACTTTCGTGTCATTTGCTTAAATGGTCTATGTACAATAACGTAACTCAACGATAATATCGAATCATCGTTTAACTAAAAAACATACTTTTAAAAGCTTACCGATTCAAATAAAATTACTTTCCGCAGCGTGGCGAGTCCCTTCACATCCCGAGTTCCGGACATCACATGCGTGCCCACGGTCATCCAACAGGGCAGAGCCGCCTTGGTCACCTCGTTCGGGATCTTCAAGTTCACGGTCTGCTACTCCCTGACCGAGTTCGTGAGCACCATCATCCTCTACTCCATAAGTTCCAATTTCACTGGCCTGCAGTTTTTCTACGTGGACGTTTTCGTTTTCGTCAACTTTGCCTTTTTTTTCGGCAAAACCGAGGCGTACGAGAAACTAGCCAAAACACCGCCCACCTCGAGCCTCGTGAGCTTCACGCCGTTGTTCTCCATCACCGTGCACACGATCATCATAGCAATGTTCCAACTAATCGCGTTCCACGTGGTCCAGCAATTCTCGTGGTACAAGGCCATGGTGTGGGACGACGAGTACCGTTACGACTGCTACGAGAACTACTCGGTGTTCAGCCTCTCGACCTTCCAATACATCATCATAGCCATCGTTTTCTCTATGGGTAAACCCTACCGTCTGCCCATTCACACCAACAAGTGCTTGGTGCTGTCCATCATCGTCGTGACCCTCGCCAACGCTTACATCACCCTGGATCCGGCCAAGTGGACGATCGATCTACTCGAGCTCCAGATGCCACCTGTTTACGACTGGAGATACGCCATAATCGTCCTTGTCCTCGTCAACGGCCTCGTGAGTATCTGGTTCGAGTCGTTCGTTGTGGAGTACCTCATCCAGCGCAAAGTCGGGCCCAGACTCTACAAGCCTGAAAAATCCAAAAAAGAGTACGTGTTGGTGGAATGCGAGCTCAGGAGGGAGCCCGATTGGCCACCGATCAGTCGCGAGTTACCGAGCTTACCGATCACCCCCAGTTACGAGAATATCGTCAATTCGGAGCGAAAGGCTAGCATCGCGGATTTGGATTTTGTCTACGTCGTCAACGAGGACGAGAAAAAAGCTTGTGTTGGGCTCAAGGATGGAATCGATAATCCGGCGTTTAGCAGTGACGTGCAGGATAATGAGATTAACCAAGCGTACTAATGGATTTTTCAATCATAGTATTATTATTATTGTTGTCATTTTTATTTTTACTACCATCATTGATATATTACGGTTTTATACGCGCGTAGATTTTTAAGTGTATTATTTGTTGTTAACAATAGTTTACCTGAGTACGTTTTTTTGTTCTTCGTTCGCGTTCTCAAAAGTACACCTGCTCGTCCATAAAGTAGAACAGGTTACAAATCATCAAGCGCGAGTTGTGCTCGTTCTCAGATCCGATGATCTGTATTAATTTTGCGTTTTCTGCAAGGAAAACATATGAATTTGTAAAAAATATTGTTACTTGTATCAACCACTTGTACAATGCGTATCAAAATGACCTGGCTTATAGAAATGAATTTTATGTACTCTACCGATTTAATTATATATAATAAAAGAAAAAAATATGCAATTCCTTGCTCACCAATAATGGCCTCGTGATTATCCCTCAATTCTTTTTCTATCCATTGCTTGTACTGAAGCACGACCCTGTTCAGCATTTGTATAGTACTGTCAAAGATGTGGCTTTTCAACAAAAGTTTTGGAAGAGATTTGATAAAATCTTTAAAAGACTCTTCGCTGTAAAATAAAAGGACAATAAGTGGCTAAGTTTATGCAATAAGTAAATTTTAGTATGTTAAACACAGCTGCTGCAGCAATAATCATACTTGTAACAAATATTAATAATTTATGTGTAGCAGTAGTTGAAATTGTGTATAATGAGTTTGAAAGTTTTATTAATTACCTATGCAAGTCAATTAAATTGTGATTCATCACAATATCTTTCATCACCGAGAATAGTTGTTTTTGTAAATCTTTTTTGTTACTTAAATACACATTTATGACACTTTTCAGAAGGTCACTCAGTGGAACTTTATTCTTATACCACGTTATACAAGCTTCCAAGAAAAGAACTCTTAAAACACTGATCAAACAGGGAATCATAGGAGTTTGGGTATTTTTCCAGTTATCAAGTATATCTGTCAAAGGGAAATAATACAGATAAAAAAAATAAACAATGAATAATCAGGACATTAAATAAACCTTACCTATTAGAAACTGAAGGATTTGAGAGCACAAACTCCTGTCTATACTATCAAGTTTGGTATTACTGCTCGCAGCAGTAAACCAAATATAGATGTAACACAGAGTTAAATTCTGTTCCATGCAGTCATTTGAAGGATTTATTGCTAATTCTTCTTCAGACTTTTTCACTCTCACTCCAGATTTTAGCTGTTGGTATGGGAAATCAAGAAGCAAATTTTTAATAAAGACACTTTTAAATTTACTTTTGAACCACAATGTACCATGCAATGTTCCACTATCACTTTCAAGTAGCTCTAAGTATTCAATTATTGAATGCATTATACTGGTTATGGACCTCAAAAGAGATGAAGCTTCATCAGAGATAGGAATCTTATGATTAGTGTTGGGTTGCTTTTTTGGACAAACTTCCAGCCAACTATCAAACATCAGAGGTATCAAGGAATCTATATAATTTTTTAGTGCATCCAAATCCAAGGATTTGTTAATTTTGCCACGTGTGCCGGAGTTTTCGAAATTAACAGGACAGACTCGCAATCGATTCAAGGAATAGATTGGGCAATGACCATTTTTATCCCTTACATGATACACTTTTGGAGAGTGAGCCAGTGAACTGATTCTTGAGTTTTTCTGTATTTTAATAGTAGCCAGCATAAATTCTTGCAAACTATTCAAAACTTTTGATCTCCATTTCATACTAGAGTTCTTGAAGTTCAAATTGGCCGACAGTTGTCTGCCTGGCTGAGCTTGAGATCGTAGCTTTGAAATCATGTCCAAAAAGTATGTGAGAAGCTTGCCACTGTTGTTAATCAAAAAACTATGCGAGTGTTGAATAATTATATCCAAAAACAATAAGGAATCTTCCATTATATGTGGATCTATGTGGGTCATAGCACATTTAAGGTAAGAAATTAAAACGTCACTGAATGGTCTCAGCTGATCATTCGAAACTGCTGCCAAAATTAGGCTCAAAGCTTTCAGAGCCTCTCTCCTCACGGGTTTTTCTTTGTCAAGGGCTAAGGCTGCTATTCCTTTGAGCAACGCACTTAAGTGCACGTTCAAAACATCTGCAGCATGTTCAGCTAAAATTTCCTTCAATTCTCTAACTGCATCTTGCCTAGAAGATGAATTATGGTGCTGGAGTCTTGATAATAGATCCTGTAAATAGTTTATGTATTACTAAATACAATTAATTATGATAATAATAAAAAAACAAACAAACAAATATATTGAGCCATTACCTTAACATTAAGCTTCCTACGACTTAGAATCTCAGATGCATCCTGTTGCTTCAATTGTGTTCGGATGATAATTTTCTTGGCCTTAAAGGAAGTGTTAGTTATGTTTAGCCCTTTAGGGAGAGGCTGTTGCTGCTTTCCTTTAAGCTTAACTTTTGCTTTTTCGGATTTCAACATCTTCTGATGTTTGTGATTTTTACCCATTTTGTCGAATTAAAGTTCCACCTGGGCACGTCAAATAGAGCTTGATACTGTGCCGTCAACGATATTTATTTTTACCAACTCGCAATATTTAATTTATGATATACGATCGCGATCGCGCAGGAAAAACCTCTTTTCAATTACTTATTTTACTTATATAAGTAAAAGTATATCCGTAAAAATGGAGCACATGTTTTACACACACGTGACAAAAAAAATATATATATATAGAGTTACCCGGGAAAAGTAAGGTTAGGTGACTGAAGCACCGCATACAATGTATACATCACACATCATATAAGTATAGCAGTAGATAGAGTTTAGTTGCATATGCAATTGTCACTCGAGCCGCAGATTTAAGTGTTGTGTGCAGATAAGCTGCAGATAAATAAATAGGGAAAAGAGAGAATGACATTTAAAAAATTAGAGGCATAAGAGAGAGGAGCCGCGCGAGACATCCACTGATCCACATAATCGTTAAACAATTAGTACTTAATCGCGAAAAAATATATCTGGTCATTGATAAATGTCAACCTACTCGGTTAGTTTCCGCAAGTCATTTATATCTCTTTCTATAGCTGTATTACTTTTTAATTGATAACATATCTTTGTATCTATCTCGTTACTACAATGCATGCCTAACTCTAAATAATATTTATATTCAAAAATAGTATTTTCCAGTCACGAAAAATTGTCGTGAGTGTCCGGTTATTTATAACCATTGAGTTTATGTTGCAATAAAGTCAATGATAATGTCAGCAATGCATGCTTGTAGATTTCGTGTGTTGCTAATTATTGAGTTATAATAATCAATTAAACTTGACTTTTAAATAAGTAACGCAACCAGTTCCAGGTGTGACATGTCATCCTTGTATGGCTGCTGAAGTAATTAGGTATATTGTGAAGACAGAGAAAATCAATCGTTAAAATGACCCACTTCAATATGAGTTATTGTCCACCAAACGCCACTTTTGGTGAGATTTGGTACAACCATGGCTTGTCCAAGTGCTTCATGGACACTGTCAGTTCTTCCGTAGTGGCTCTGTATTTGTTTATATTCGGCACGGCTCAGCTATTGATGTACAAACGTTATGGGAGTGACGTTGATGCCAATTCTTTGCCAAGGAGCAAGTTGTATACCTTGCAAAAGTTTTTACATATTTTTATTGTTCTTCTTTCCATTGTGAAAATCGTGTTGCAAGATACTGTCTTGGGTGATCAGCAAATATATGGGTACATGGTAAATAACTTTGAACACGTCATTTTTTGGCAGATTTTTTGATTTGCATCAACATTGACTCATTGACTTTCAGGTCGTATCGGCTATTCTCACAATAATTGTGTATCCATATGCACTGTACATACTAAAAGTGGAAAGGCATCAGTTGCTACCAAGTGTTCCAACTCATGGCCATGGTATCGTTTTGCTTGGTTTCTGGACACTTGCATTTGTTTCTGATAATCTTGTATTTGTTAATTTATTCAGAAAAGAATGGTGGTTTAAGTTTGAAACGTAAGTACTTAATATTAACTTCAGATATCTTATTATCGGAAATAAATCATTTTTTTATTTTACCACCTGATGCAAATAGTAGCAATGAACCATCATAATAATTTTACATAACTATTCAAAATTTCAATTATTAATATTTTTTATTCTAATGTAACAAAGTATGACTTTACACTTATCAAAATAATGAATATTAAAAATTATAGCATAATACTCTCATGCTATCCTAAAAAACTTAAAGTAATCTATTTTTATTTGCTGATCTATTTTTAGGTTGTCTGACAAAATAGAAATGGTACTATTTATCTCGCGCTACTGCAGCAGTCTGCTAATTTTTTCACTCGGTCTGCAAGCACCAGGAATAATCGGTTATCCACCCAGCAATTATTACAGTTTCGATGGCACAACTTCACGGTCAAGATATTACGAAGGTGTAAGTCATATATTACTTTTTGTCAAATAATCCAACTATTTAAGTTAATATATTTTAATTCTCATGCTTTTTGTTTCCTAGTTTTTTTTTTTTTTTTTTTTCTAATGTCCCATTAGCAATCTCCTCTTAAAACAAATCCTCTAAAAAATCAGAAGTAACCGGTATCTTTATGAATTTTTAGCATCCAAATGAAAATGCTTCAACGTGGGTTAGTGCCTGGTACAAAATTAAGACTCTGGCTCCTTTCCTGTGGCCAAAAAAAAGTACTATGCTCCAGCTGAGGGTGATATTTTGTTTTCTTTTACTCATTGCTGGCAGAGTAATCAACCTTTATGTCCCAATGTACAATAAATGGATTGTGGATAGCGTAACAGATACACCAGGACAATTTAGGTTTGTAAAAAAAATTTTTTTTTTTTAATATAGAGTTAAGATAAAATTTCATATTCTAATTGATTTTCATTGTAATTGAATATATTTTTTATTAGATGGGATTTGGTTTTAATTTATGTTGGGTTCAAGTTCCTACAAGGCGGTGGTACAGGAGGAATGGGTTTGTTAAATAATTTGAGATCGTATCTATGGATTCGCATACAGCAATACACAACCCGTGAAATTGAAGTTGAACTATTTGGGTAAAACTATTTTAAAACCAAGTTATATTTAATGATGGTACTCGAATAATTATTTAAAGAAATATTATTTCTACATCAGACATTTACACAGTCTAAGTCTGCGTTGGCATCTCGGGCGCAAAACCGGAGAAGTACTTCGTGTAATGGATCGTGGAACAGATTCCATTACAAATCTATTAAATTACATTATTTTCTCTATTGTTCCAACAATCGTAGATATACTTGTAGCGATAGTATTCTTCATAAGTGCGTTCAACAAATGGTTTGGATTGATTGTATTTTCAACTATGATTCTATACATCGGTAATGGATTAAAAAATTTTATGTCACCTAATTCATACTTAATGGGTCACTGATATCTCTTTTACTCTCATTATTTTCAGCTGTTACTATTGGTATTACCGAATGGCGCACCAAGTTTCAAAGGCGGATGAATCTTGCAGATAATGCTCAAAAAGCCAGAAGCGTGGACAGTTTACTCAACTTTGAGACGGTCAAGTATTACGGTGCCGAAGCATATGAAGTTAATTTGTACAGAGAGGCAATTCTCAAATATCAAGAAGAAGAATTCAAATCGTCAATAACGTTAAATATATTGAACACAGTGCAAAATGTAATTATCAACTGTGGCCTTCTAGCGGGATCTCTTTTATGTCTTCATATGGTTGTGCATCATGAGGGTTTGTCGATAGGAGACTACGTTCTATTTGCAAGTTATATAATTCAATTGTACGTGCCTCTGAACTGGTTTGGGACATATTACAGGTGAGACAAAACAACTCAAAGTAATGAAAAATACATTTTTGCGAGTCCAATTAAATATCATTTTTTTTTCCTGCAGAGCTATACAAAAGAATTTCGTTGATATGGAGAACATGTTTGATCTTTTGAGAGAAAATCAAGATGTCATTGATGCACCAGGTGCTGGACCGTTGATTGTTAATCGAGGAAGCGTGGAATTTTCAAACGTCACCTTTGGATACACCCCCGAAAGGATTGTGCTCAAGGGAATCAGCTTCAAAGTTTTGCCCGGCCAAACAGTTGCTCTGGTTGGGCCGTCTGGTGCTGGAAAATCCACGATAATGCGCTTACTGTTCAGATTCTACGATGTCGACGATGGTGCTATCTACATTGACGAACAACATATCAAAACAGTCAAGCAGGATTCTCTGCGCAAAGCAATCGGTAAACATCAAACATTTTGAAAATGAAATATATTTTGTACTGTTTGACTAATTAATTGTTTTTCGAATTACAGGCGTGGTTCCCCAAGATACTGTATTGTTCAATAACACGATAAAATATAACATTCAGTATGGAAAAATCGACGCTCCGGAAGCTGACATTATAGCAGCTGCAAAGTACGCTGACATTCACGAGCGTATCCTCACATTCCCAGACGGTTACGAGACTCAGGTGAGCTGATCGCTTCAATAAAAAAAAACCTTCGTTTAAATTGCAGTATTCCATAAAAAAAAAAAATAATAACCATCAGGTTGGCGAAAGAGGGCTGCGACTGAGCGGTGGCGAGAAACAGCGTGTCGCTATAGCGCGCACGATGCTCAAGGCACCAAAGATCGTTTTATTGGACGAGGCCACGAGTGCACTGGACACTCAGACAGAACGGAACATTCAATCAGCGTTGAGTCGCGTCTGCAAAAATCGCACGACAATCATAATTGCACACCGACTCTCTACTATCATACACGCCGACGAAATACTTGTATTAAAAGATGGAGAAATTATTGAACGCGGCAAGCACGAGGATCTATTGAATTATGGTGAAGTTTATCATGATATGTGGGAGGCCCAGCTGAGGAATAATAATGACCAATCTGAAACAGAAGCTTCAGAAAAGTGAATCAGGGTTGCGGTTAATTCCTTAAAGTGTTGAGCAACGTAAGCTGCTGAGTTTTTGAAAATTAACGCCGCCATCGTTTCGCAAGGCCCTCGAATTTGTTTTAGAACTATGAATTTTATACCACCAAAAATTGTATTGTACATAAAAAAGAGAAAATACTTTAACATTATGAAGGATGAGCATTTTAAGACAAGACACTTATGTTTTAAATAAATTTGCGTTTTTTAAAGTGAAGACTGATTTAACACATGAAACAACTTTCAAAGTATCATTAAAAACAGTAAACTCACATCAATTTAAAATAATAAAAACATCATATGTGACATGAGAGTAGTTTGCTTTGAAAAATTTTATGGTTCAAATTAGCTATTAGTTTAAAAAATTGATGTTGAAAAATTTTGAGTGATTTCAATATTTATTTGATAGTAAAATATTTTACTGTAGTGACTTTCATATTTAGTCCATTACCACACTTAATTAAAAAAGGCAAAAAAAAAAATATTACATCTAGTTTAAGAGGCTTCCATTAGTAGGTGAAATTTTGTAATGATTTTTAAAGAAAAAAAATTGTTTAACGATCAGCTAATTGGTTGTAATGTTCTAATGTAGTAATTTTTACGATCAATTTTTTGATTACGATAGATTTCTTTAATGTTTTAGTTTATTATAAGATGTAAATATCTGGAAAATCAAGGATGGAGAAAAAAAATACAGCTATCAAAGAAACTCACTCATGTTTTATTGCAATCTCAAATCCTTAATTGTGTGGCTACGTATGTACACCATCATACATATAAATGTTAAAGTTTGTGCTTCATTCGTTGCTAGATGTTTTTGCAAACTCTCCATCAGGTACCCATCCGCTATTATCAACGGGATCAGTTATTGTTTCATTATTCTCTCCCCACCAAAAATAATAACTTGCTACAATGGCAAAGGCCACAAAATAGACAGTCTATAAAAAATTAATAACAATTTTTTAGTTTATTTTTCAACAAATTTCAAAGTAAAATAGATATTGACATATGCACCTTTATCAACTCGACGTGTTCATCCATTTTTTATTTTTCTGCAATTTTTTAACGATACTTAATACTTGAAAAAATTTTCTGAGGGTACATTTAGGCCGACAAAAATGATTATAACCGAAAAAAAGGAAAGTCGATTTGGTCTTGACAATTATCATAACGATCAAACTTCAAACGTGTCCGCTATTTGCAAATTTTTCAATTTTTGGAAAGAACGAGCGCACGATGACAATCTTCAAGTCACCCAAATCCAAGCTGTATTTTTTAAGTGTAAGCAGTATTTTCAGTGTTAAGATATTTCTGATATATCGTTAATCCCAACATTCATAGAATTACCAGTAACGAAATAAATAGGGCAAAATTTCGCGCATTCGTCGTCATTACTTACCGTCCTATACCGTCCTATATGGAGTTGAAAAAAGTCACTAGATTTTAACTAAATTTTTCTAAATACACCAAAGTACAGCGCCATCTAGCATTGGTGTTGTGAAGCCCACACATACCGACGGTCAGGGCTCTCGAAAGTGGCAGATGATCTGGCGCAAAATTTTAAAAATATTAAAATTGAGTCTCAATCAATGACAAATAATCAACTGTAGCTTATTAAAATTCGTAATTAACTTAAATGAACATTTTAATCATAATATAATAATCTGAAAGTAACAATTTAAGTAATTGTTATTAAGGTGAATGTTGATCAGTATAACAGAGATTTTCCAGTATTCCAATTAATTTCGTAGTTTTTAATTGTAATATGATAATAAGAAACTGTTATAGATAATTTAAATTATCANCTCCCGTCAAGCGGCGAAATTCCCGCACGATTACTATATAAGCGCGATCGAGTCAGTCTAAGCCCACATCTTTTTTGTGTCTAAGGCAGGGAGCACGTCATCAGCCTTACTGTGAAAAAAAATAGTAGCACCTGGATCTAAAGTCCCTATAAAGAATCTCTTTCTTGCTGTGATCGGTGAATCTCTCTGTCGATTAGCCATAGTTTAGATGCTTTTAGTACAATTTTTATCTTTTATCACTTTGCGAACAGATCAGCAGTGAGAAATACCGAAATAGGGAATCATGAACGCAAAACTGTAGCAACAGTAAGAGGATATAGATCTCAAGAAAAAGGTGTAATAAACTGCTTTACTCCCGATGCAACTGTAACAATGACAGTTGAAATACATGCTATGTTAGGTGTGATTGCGACTACACCACTGTATGAACAGATTGAAGTAGATGAGCCTGTAGATCTAACAATAACAGCATTAGCCAGTGGATATATCACCATATTATTAGGATATGCCACAGAACAGTTATTGATCAATGCTGGGGTAAATACTGCAGTCAGATCTGCAGGTATGTCAATCAACATCACGAGATTGAGTGTTGAAGACATTAGAGAAATGTTTGAGGGGTTATAGCCAACATTTAGAGAAGGGGCTGGTATGAGTGAGGAATGGAATAACCAAGATCACGGAACCATTCAAGTGATGGCAATTAGCATCATGCTATTCCTCATTAAAAGATTAAATGAAAACTCAGTAGCCCCTTGGTTTCATAGCCGATGGAGAATTCTGTCAGCAATAATGAGAGTTATAATGTCTGCCGTGAGTGTAAACCCCTACAACTAACTACCAAAACTGCAATCTTATAAATTCCTTTTATTCATCCATGCATGCAGCAAGAACAAAGATCTTTGAAGTATTCAGGACCTTAGCTAACCAGCAGCAAGAGATGTACAAGGAGGCATTTCGTTCGATCATCAGAAAGATGTGGTGGGGCCGAGATAGGACATATAGGAATGATAGACGAACATGTCGTTCAAAACAACCTCGGGATATTCTCAATGCCTTACCTAAGCGAACCTGAATCATCTATACTATGGCATGCATACAATTTTCTGTCCAATCTTGATCCCGAGGATAGACACCATACTTATGTTAAGATACTGGTTTTTCTCCAGAGCAATGTCCAATGTTACACATCAAAGACATTATCGCTTTTTGTATGCTGCTGCATGAGTTATCGCTTCTTAAAGCAATATAATCCTAAAACATTCGTAACATAGTCGCGAAAACCTCCAGACACATGAATGACTTTTGTAACCGTGTGATACGAGTAGTGATTAACAAGAGAAGAACAGGACCTCAATATGTAGGAAGTGTGGTCAACTATTTGAGAGAGAAACAGGTGTTACATCCCGAGAGCACGCCAGGACTCCTCAGTAAGGCTGATGACGTGCTCCCTGCCTTAGACACAGAAGAGGTGTGGGCTTAGACTATCTCGATCGCGCTTATATAGTAATCGTGCGGGAATTTCGCCGCTTGACGGGAGTTGACTATTGGGGGTTTGGCCACCTGGCGAATAGAGCCTGAAGCGCGAGAGATGTGAGACGCCACATATACACTGATACTGTGATAATTCCTACTAGAATTAGATGTGACTATAGTAAGTATAACTTACTACAGCTTAACAGTTGGACTTCGTATTTAACGACTTAACTAATAACCTGTGCTTGTTATTGTCATTGTTAACATGTGGTGAAAATCAGGGGAACTGGGATCTGGGATCGGGAATATCGGGATAGGATATGCAGTGGGATTGTTAACACCAATAAGTACTTATTCTTACATACAATAATGACAAACAGATGGTGAGACGAAACGTCTATGCAAGAAAGCTCCGGAGTTTAAAATTTATTGAGTTTCGAAAATGAACAGTCTTGGCTTGAGTTTGATTTTCAAGATGGGTTGTCTTTGTTCCAAAGAGACGATTGTTATCAACGATAGGAAGTACACAGTACTTGAACACCTCGGAGAAGGGTATGTTACTGTTCAATTTGTAGTCATAACTTCATTGGCTGTTACACATAACTCAAATTAGAAATAAAAATTCTATAAATGTTGTTTTAGAGGTTTCAGTACTGTATTACTGGTTGAAGATTGTACTCTGCATAAAAAGTACGCAATTAAAAAAATTACGTGTCATGGGCCAGAAGATCAGAGATTAGCTGTCAAGGAAGTCGAGTACCACTCAATTGTACGCCATCCAAACGTTATAGAATTGATTGATTCTACTCATCAGGGGACAGCTGATCCCGTTGTTAATGCCACCAGTGAAGTTTTGTTAGTGTTACCTTATTATCACGTAAGTTAGAGGAATGAGTTAATTAACTCCAAGACCAAGTTTACATGTATTTGTGTTTTATAGAAAGGCACTTTGGCTCAAGAATTAGAAAGGCGTAGTAAATATAATGAATACATGGGATCAATAGAAATACTAAACATGTTTTTGCTTATCTGCGAAGGAATAAAAGCATTTCACGAAACCAAGCCTGAACCTCTTGCTCACAGAGACTTAAAGACTGCTAACATAGCCTTAGGGGATGGTAATGTACCTATAATAATGGATCTAGGTAATTGATACAATAATAACTTTATTTATCAAATAAAAAATTTTTGAAAATACAAATCTAAAATTTTACATTTTTGTGTGATTTTATTAGGGTCTGTAGCACCTGCTAGAGTGAAAGTATGCGGGAACCAAGCTGCACATTCTCTACAAGAGTTAGCTGCTGAAAGATGTTCGATGCCATACAGGGCTCCTGAACTTTTTAATGTTGAAAGTTATTGTATGGTTGATGAACGAACGGACATTTGGGTACGTAGACATCATGATGTAATTTCATTGAAATGTTCACGACGTGCTGATTGTAGTATAAATAATTTAATAATTTACTTTGATCTTAGTCATTGGGGTGTATTTTGTATGCCATGTGTTATTTCAAGTCACCTTTTGATACCGTTTATGAAAGAGGTGACAGTGTTGCACTTGCTGTTATTAGTGCAAATATTACCTTTTCAGAAAATGCTCCGTACAATGAAGTAAGTGACAAACGATTAAGTTAAATGTTTTATAGTTAAAATGATTTACTTAATTTTCATTAAAATGTTTTTATAGGACATGCAAAATTTAATTTTAATGATGCTGAAAGTTAATCCTATGGAACGTCCGTACATTTACAGTGTTATAGAAAGTGCTCACGAAGTATTATCAAGATTAGAAGGTAGGGTATAATCATTATTTCACAGAGAATTTAACAAAAACTTATTAATGAAATAAGGTTTTATACTTTTTAGTAAAACAAATGTATCTAAAATTTTTAAACTAATTGTTAAGCTAAGGATTTAAATTGTACATATTTTAAATGCATACATTCCAGATATGTATAGTACTATCCTGCAAGTTATTTATTTTTATTTTCCATAGTAAAAAATAATGTATTGTGTAATATATATAAACCATGTGCAATCATTACATTCAATATTATATTATTTATATTGATGACGAGATAATTATCTGATATTATTTGATACAAATTTTTGGAATTCGATTTGACGTCAATAATGAAAAAACATGAAGTTGTCATTAAAATTACGATGATTAAGACGTTTATGTACAAAGAATTTACCAAAATGTCACAATTTATTATATTATTAAATGGTTTGTTTTGTAAATACAAGAAAAATCGTTAATTGTAAAATTTACCCAGATACATGTTCTAAACAACAAAATCGATATGTATAAATAAAGTAATTACAAAAAAATCGATCGACACGCAAAATTGAGTACGGGTGTGTTCCAGTAACGCTCTCCGACAACTTAATTATGTCTTACGATATCTTGCGTCATGTTTAAGTTGTCTGTAAGTTGTCGTAAAGCGCTACTGGAACACACGGTACCTATATCCAAAAAAAAGAATTTGCAATGTTTTAAATTGCGCGGGCTTTCACTCCAACAAATGAAAGAGAAAAAAAATATCGCCCTCAAAAAAAAAAAACACGTATATATAGCAGAACGCACTAGCAGAAGCAGAAGTCATCTCTCCTCCCATCTTTTTCTCTCTCTAAAAAACTTCAGTGTTTCACGGGAACGGGTCGAGAGTGGACATAAGTTGTTCTTTATTCGCTCTTCTCGTGTTGCCGACGACTTTTCCACCTTTTTAGATATACAATAAGCTGTACCTATACCTACAAACATAAAAATAGAGTACTCGACTTAAGAGACGATCGCTGCCCTTACTCCCTCAGCATCACCAAAAAAAAAAAAAAAAAAGATTACAAAGGAAGAATCGTTTTTGTATACATACAATTCTGTAAGTACATCTGCTTATTCATACATTTAAGTGTATGCTTAGGTTTATTGAAGCTTTTTTTCCTCGATTTGCGATTATGACTTGTGAACACCAAGCGATTATTCCGGCCGATCGATAAACACGTTTAGGAGTCTCCTCAGTGAGATTGTGGGTGTATGTATAAATATATACGAATGGATAAGCACGTGATAGGAAAGGTGAGAGGTGATAAAGTGGATCTGAATCGTTTTCGCCGTAAGTTGAGATTTTTTTGTGCTTTTATTTTTCATTCGCACAACGAACCTAACCTAGATGAGGTTTACTAATAAACTGCAGCATATTCTTTCAGTCTTACACACAGTGAAAATCTTACCCAATTGTTCTCCATAAATATTTATTTACAAAATCACCATTACAAATATAAGTATTTTATACACACATCCTGCATGCATAATGGAATCGTTGTTATATGCGGCCGGCTACTTCAATCTTACACGTCTTTGGGGCTATTCTCTATTTACCAATTTTATTTTGCATCCAGTACCATACGTCACAGTCATGTAACGTTTATTAAACTCTCTTGCAAATCTTGACGTGTGCATATGTGTGCTGTGTATCTGCATCTGTCCACTTTGATTTAATGTGTAATTTGGCAAAACTCATTTGTAGCTGTATACCTAGTTATCTCGAGCTGAAATTCAAGTTGCAAAGATCAGTAATTTTCAAGCGCTGCAATTACTAGTACAGCGATAATTTTAAATTATTGAGAATGTATTAGTTAAGGTCGAAGATTTATTTTTTGAAATATTTTTTTGTAGCGATAACATAAACTTACCTTAACACACCGTGTACCGAATTCGTGGATTTAAATACAATATTTTTAAGTTAAAATCAAGTTTTTAACCATAAGCATTGAATAATAAGTGCTTATATGAAAATTCAATCACTTAAAATTACAGAAAAAAATTTTAGTGTTTCATCATATTTTTCAAAGAATGTTGTATGATGTTGAAGAGGAAAAATGTGTTCCTTTATATATTATATAGCATAGTATACTTTTAACTTTTCCTTTCTATGTTGTGGACTATTTTGCTTATAAAATTAAAGTGTATAAACATTTAGTCGAAAAAAATGTGAGGTGCATGTTAATACATTACCCCATTTCTTTTTTGTTACCATTGCTCTCACCATACTCTTCAAATCTTCACATCCATGATACAGTTACCTATACCCCTTCCATGTTTGATTCACAGCTCCATTATCGTCCTTTAACTCTTTCTCTTGTATTCTTATTTTATATACACAATTACAAGACTTACTTACGTATGATATGTACACCGGAGGTTCAAGGTCTCAGCGGCATTCACTTGTTCATACGCGCAACATCTATGTAATAAGTACTTGTGGATATTCTCTCACATCCTTTTAATAGAATATAAATATATGTAAGATAGGGTACAGATGTGGAACTTCATGAGTTTTCAAACATTTATACCTATTAAAATATTACTTGATGCCATAGAACAAGCGCAGAACGCGAGGAGTTTTTTTCGTAAAACCCTTCATTTAAAACCACAATAATCCTTATTTAAAAAATTCTCTTTCAAACTCTGAAAAAATCTAAATCATGTTTTAAATGGCGAAACATACCTTTGTATTGAATGACAAGTTCCACGTGTATCATTTTTTATTACCTGTTTTTTACCACGTTTATCATATACAACAGAAATTTTTTAGCTATATAACATAAAGGGAGATTGGAAAACTTATCCTCGCAGTAACACACCTTGCCCACTCATCTATGTATACATATTAAGCCTAGCAAACACGCTGGCCACTTGTATAATACCATTGTCACGTGATTAGATTTCAACGGCCAAATTTTGTTCTCCATATAGGTACTTAATTTACTTGACTCATTGCAGCTGGTCCGATATGATGCGGGAGGAAACGATTGTATGGAATATCACTGTTTCTCTTTCTTTTTTCCCTTGTAGTTTTAAAGGGGCCAAAATTGGTGATGTCGTTGAACTCGAAAATCTCTGTGACATTGACAAATCCGTGAATTTAGCTATGGCACATTGGTACGTGTTCATGTGGTATTTTAGCAAAGCCAGACGTACAAAGGGACAACCGAAACATATTTCAGTCTATTACTGACTTGACGTATTTATATAATAATGATGTGCATCGAGCTCACTGATTTTCATTAAAATTCATTTATCTTGAAAAATCGATCGGGTATGTTGATAGTCGCGAAATAAATCTGATGATCGGTGTCTCGATTTTTTTTTTTTTTTTTTTAAGAAACATTTTGCTGTTATCTTTCGTATGAACTCTTGTTATACGTTTTACATTTTTTACTTCGACTCTTAAATTTGTTGAAATCCCAACTGTAGAGATCGCTGCAAGGAATAATTTTTTTTTTCCCCTTACCACGAGTCATCTTTTAATTTTAGCATGGTTATAAGCCTCACGAATACCATCTCAACGAAAAAAAATCAACTTAAGACTAGTTTTTCATACCGAATTCCCGAGTAAAATAATCAATAAAACGCCGAGAGGTCTAAAAATACCACTTACATACTTACTTTGAAAGTTCGTGGCGAATCTTGATCTAGCTGTTGTAGGGATGAATTCAATATAACGTTAATAACTTTTCTTTATTCAACATCAAAAAGAGGAAAACTTATGTGCTGTGTTGTTGCTTTTTTATTAAACATTTCAACACGTGATGACACAGATTTATACACGTGATACTTGTGTAAATACAATTTGATATACTTCTGCAGGATAACCGACATTTTTCCTCGACAATCAAATGATTCATCGTCGGTTCAAACAATTTAAATTTAAACATTTGTTAGCAAAGTAGGTACTCCAATATCTGGGCAGCAAATCGTGTAATCTTTTTTTTTTTTTTTTTTTTTTTTTTGTACGTCTCGTCGAACTCAATAGTTTGTTTAGTATCCCCCGCTTGCATAAAAGCTTTGCGGGTTGTAACGAAACAGTTATCATTTAAATAGAGTTGAAGCATTCTACTGCGAAGCGAGAAAATATACATCTATAAGAAATAGCCCGGAAATCTAAACCTACGAAACGATTGTTTCTCTTAAGATTCAGATTTTTTTTTCCTCCTTTTTTTAAGAGTATACGAAATCGTTGACGCTGTAGTTGCTGTGCGTAAACGATCCACAATCGAAAGACGATTCAAATTTTCGATGACGCGCGCCTAGAAAAAAAAAGGAAACGATTGCACGTCAAGAGCCCAACCAGTACAGAAGAAATCGGGATCTCTTGCAGTAATTTTTAAAATGTACGAGTCGATGATGCTTATTTTCATAATCGAAATCACTCTAGTTATTTATCATTTTTTTTAAAAAGTAGGTATACAGAGAGACTTTCATGCACGAGTTGAAAAATGAAATTCAATGAACTTGTACTAAACAATTACGATTTTACTGTATACAATAAACTATACTATGTATTAATTTTTTAATTCTTAAAAAAAAAAAAAAAAAGTAAAAAAATGAAAACCGGAAGGAGCGAAAACGTTATTGTAAAATTATTACGCGCTTGAGTTGAAAACGTGACGGCATGAGTGCGTGCGCTTTTAAACTTAATCGTCCACGTGGCCTTGGCCTAGCGTATCATTCGACGAATTCGATGGTTCGATGCTCGCCTGACGTGCGCCGGCTTTTCTCTCTCTCTCTCTCTCTCTCTCTCTGCACAAGCGCCAAGTAGGTATAGGTATATACGTTTGTCTACGTAACTTTTATCTATTTCCTATATATATAGACCTCTGGGAGTCTCGCGAACCACGTGTTTATAACGTATTGTGTCATTATTGGTGATAATAATAAGGATACATTTTAATTTCGAAATGAAAGCCAGCTGAAGTTGTCGAAGAATTGTTTTTTCTTTTTTTCTTTCTTTCAACTGCAATTAAACGTTCAAAGTTAACACCATGAGTATTTTCATCTCGACCGCCAGTGTATATACGTATGGAAACCATGAGAAATGTAAAGCAGGTGCGAGGAAAATAGGTGAGCCCATTGTGCATTCGCATTTATAAATCAATGCGATTTGTTAATGAACGATCCGACGTCATGAAAAATTGATCTTGATCTGAAACCGATGGGGAAACCTCGTGCGGATAGTTTATGCGATCTTTTATCGAAGAATTCGCATGAAGTAATGATTTTTTTTTTTTTATTCTATACATGCGGCTTACGTGCATTTGATGGAAATGCAAAAAAAAAAAAAAAAACCGCCTCGACAATATACTTTTGTTCAAACGACTGAATCGCGTATTTTCAGTTGTTCCTTTTAAAACATTTTACGCTATTTTGTTCGGTTGAACAAAAATAATTGCGTTTGCGACTCAACTCGTACTTGTATTCTTTAATTTGGGTGTTTTTTTTGTTTTTTTAGTTGTGCTACTTTCTTCGATCAACACATTACGCGAGAATGATAAATTTTTGTCTCTCTCTCTTTCTTGATATTCGATTCTGATGATAAAACGTACAATCAGAGCACAATTTTTAAATATCTGGGCCAAAAAAAAAAGTAAATCGTTATCCGATCGATAGGAGATAAGCATCCGCAGACGTTTTTCATTTAACATATATTTTAATCTTTGTAGTTTATATTAGCCGCACTTGAAACCGTCTTTGATTTAATAAACACTTGAACTCTATATCCACCAAAATCTCGAGTTAATATCTGCACACCAAATGTCGAAACCACTGCTGTATTCTGCCGTCACATCTTCCTTTTGTTCGTATCAAATCAGAGCCTCGTAGATACCTCTAATCTCCACGCACACCTATACACTTGTCACGCGTAGATTATGTTTCACTCACGAGGGGGGTGGGGAAAAAACCTGAAAGCGCGCACTCAACCGGTCGTCGATCGGTATCGTATTATACCGAGGCAGTCGGCAGGTGCGCGCTCAGTTGCTCGCAAGCCGCTCACCAGGCCGAGACGTTGCCTTGCGGTGTACCAATTGTACATATTATACTTACTTGGTCTGGCTATCCCATCCCTATATTAATATCGTACGTCACTTTAACCGAACAGCTAGGATTCCACTGCCATATCGATTTGGTCGAGGCTGTATCGCACGGACAAATATACAACACACAAACGAGAAGTGCGTGGTGCTAGTTGTTTTATTTTTATTTTTTATAATTATCTTGTGAAATTGGAGGAAAACCAAAGACCATTGCAATAACAATATACATCGAGTGACTATACGTGCGATCCCTTTGCAGATTCGATTCGACGAGGCGTGCACACACCGAGTGAAGAGGTACCTACAACTATACTCCCTCTTGCATGTATTTTTAGAAGGCATATTTACATCTCCTTGATTTTCGGCGGCGGTGGAAGAAAACACAAAATAGTACCAAAGTCGAATTTAATTTTCTCTCCGCATTAATTACTTTGCTCTCTCTCTCTCTCTCTCTCTTTCTCCCATTTGCGTCCGATCGAGCGTATATATAATACCTATACCGCCTTTGCTTGTACACTTTGACGTGCCGGAAGAAAGTTAACGGACGCTGCGCTTCGGAAATTCGTTTCGAAAGTTTTTTTTTTTTTTTCTCCGATATGCGTACACTAACTACTTAACTGTAAGGTATATATTGTATAGGTTTGGAGCCGGCACTGCCAACTCGGCTCGTTATTTATCTTTGACAAAGTGCGATGGGAAATATATGTTTCTTTTTTTGTCCACGACTCCCACTTACCTACACCCGTGAGTAAATGCCTTCCTCAAGAGAAGATGAACCCAGAGTTTCCTCGACCAGTGTTTTATTTGCAATAGTGAGTAAGTATGTGCTACTTGTCACAGAGTCGCGTGAGCAATTAAAAATTAAATAAATAAAGAATGTAGGAAGAACGCGTCGAAACAACGTTACTTAGTAATTGCTGGGAGTGAATAATGTATTATTATCCTTGTAACAACGACATTATCTCGCTGATCCGTGAACGTGTTTTGATGAAATTATTATTAACTACTCGTGTAGTTTAAACGCCTACGATCATTTGGGCTACTATCCATCAATGCATTAGATAATTATAATCATTCCCTGCATGTGTGCAAAGAAAGAAGTATATAATTGCATACTTATAGCTTCGCGAGAAAATAAAATAAAATTAATCGAAGGCCAATTTGTTGGTGGTTGTACTATTATCTCCTCGTACTCGCCCTCCTGGATGATAAGTACACAGTAGTTGTAGTTCGACCGCAAAATTTCTCAAGGCATGGCGTATCCCATTGTAGGTATTTACACGCGTGGTTGATCGGTTATACACATCGCGTGCACTCGTACAAGCACATATTATTATATTATTGGCCGCTGAAAATTCCGAAGGTAAAAGTTAACGAATCATTTCCTCCCCGACTTGCTATCAGATACCATAGGTATTGTATACCTATTTACCGTATATTGCATATACGTCACATAATGACCTATAGGTACTTATGGTCAACGTCACGATTTTTTCGGCCAACGTCAACGGGCGAAGGAGGAAACAAAAAAAAAATCGTGCATTATCGTTCTCCCCTACTTACCTACTCTCTCTTTTTTTTTCTGCACAGCGAATAGTACAATTCCACACGCGTACGCGCTTTGCGAAAAAAAAAGAGAGAGAATGAATGGGTCATTGTGCGCGCGCGAGCGTATACGAAACTCACCTTGCGCGCTCTCGACTTCACGTGGCGTGGTCGCGTGCCTCTGTATAGGCTTTTTTTTTTTTTTTTTCTTCAACGCGCACTCAGCGCAATCCTCAATGCGTATCCTGTTCTGTTGATTTTTTTTTTTTTTTCCTTCTTTTTCGCGCTTCGTTGATCTATCTCTCTGTTCACTCGAGTAGCAAAGGTATACTTTCGCCGTTGACTTTCGATTACAAACCATTTTTACACTTGTACGGTTGTAAACTTATCCGAGCTAAGTGCAAACATTTCCTTTAAAAAAAATGTTCATCAATTATTCCGCTGTTGCGTGTCCATCTCATGGTTCTATCTTTAAAAACTTGATGTTGTTTTTTTTTTTTTTTTTCATTTTTCTTGAAAGTTCTCGCATTGTAAATATTTATTAAAATTCTTTTGATTTCATCGAGATTTTTAGAGCTACGAGTGAAAATTGAACACCAATCCATCCACTTGGCTTCAAAAACTGATGATTAAAAACAAAATCAGGAAAAGAAAGTCGAAAGTCGTCCAGGACATACATACCTATACTAAATACACTTGGAGGCGCGACGACGGCGACAAGGTAGAAAAAAAAAAAAAAAAAAGTGAAAGTCTCCTCCTCGAACACTTTGACGCGTGACCTGCACACGCACACTTATTGTGTCTCTTGTTCGGTCGTGTCCGAGATTCCTGATAGTATACAAAATAATCTAGAGAAGCGTATATGACATATATAAATAACAGCCTTTCAAAATCTGTATATATTTCACGTGCATCGCGCGATATATGGATGTACGTGTATATTTCAAAATAGGAAAAGGAAAAGACGAATGAAGAATGCGGTTGGTCGGGTTGTTCATCCTCTCTTCCTACCTTGATCCTTTACAGATCTGGTGTCCATAGGTATAGCATTGAACTTGACGCGCCACGTCCCTCTGCGCTTTTGTGTCTCCATATTCATATATACGTAGTTTTATCGAAAGAGCTTTTTTTTCCAGACGATCGCGAAATCACTCGGTTGCAGAAAAAAAAACTCCTGGGATACTTACATGCCTGCCCATGTAGATTGTACAATATGTTACGATTATACGATATTCTGCCGCACGCGTTTATCCATTGCATTGTTGCAACAAGAATACAACATATTTATATACTTAGTATATCGGTGCTGTTGTTGCTGCTATTATTATTGTACACGAACAAGGCGCTTTTTTACCGATCATACAGCTTGCCTTTTTTGTAAAATTTATTTATTTAGGTATATTTCTTTCCTCGATGATGCTCTTTGTTGAGGGATAAATTGTTGCGATTTCACGAGAGATTGAACCACCACCGGTTCTCGCGGGTAAATTTTTCCTTTTCACTGGCAGAAGAAAATTAACGCCAACAGTGACAATAAATTTTACAATTGTGACTCTCGTACATTTGTCGAAATGCGTAAATAAATTTTTTTTTTTTTTTTTTTCTTTTATCCTCGTTCGCGTTAAAAGCACAACTTCTTTTAATTTATTTTTATTTTTATTTTTCATACAATAACACACAGAGTGTGAGGTTTGCTGCTGCGGTGTAGGTATTTATAAATATATATTTTATATCCACGCAAGAGTTTGACGCAATTGAGAAATCGTACGCACACTGTGTCATTAAAATTGTCTTCATTTGTCAATCGATGCACATATTTATATACACGCATTTTCGATACAAACATCTTCTCACGCGCGACGCGATCTCGTTGAAACAATGCGACTTTATTTATTTATAAACCATTACCGTGGTAAAAGTACACCTTGTACAGAAGAAGGTGATAAAAATCCATACGAGTCCTTAATTGCGTAAACATCGGTAAGCCTATGTATTATACAAGATAATGCAAATAGTTATACCGAGAGAGACCTTACCCTAGAAAATCTCAATCGTGATCAGGTTGCGTTGAAAGTCTATAATGTATACCTCATTGATGTCGATGATGATTAAGTATATGATAGGTGTACCTATGAGTATCATATACGATATTATCTAAACGCGGATCTGCTCGTGGCTCAACAATGTGGGTCGTGGTCACCTATATTGTATACATATAGATGTGACGACGACAATGATTGAGAACAACAATTGCAGTTTCTTGCGAGAAAGAGGAAAAAAGCGATAGTTTGTTCAACTAACAAAGACAAAGGTGGAACAGAAAAAAAAAAAAAAAAAAATTGACGTGTGTTTTCGGTTAAGCTGGCTGTTGCGTCAAATCGCGGAAAGAAAAAAAAAAAAATTATGTTTTATGAATGAAGGAAATAAAAAAGAGATCCACTTACCTAGAAAGGGTCATCAAAGTGCGGCACGTCATTTCGCATAAGTCAGTATATCTAAGTATATTGGTACATCGTCGTCACCTTTGGCTCTTGATCTTTTTTTTTTTTTTTTTTTTTTTTTTTTCGTCCTCTCGAACAAGAGAGGAGTAGGAGGGAACACGTGTTTTTTTTTTTTTTTTTTTTTTTTTTTTTATGAATCGCTTCCGTTTATCTTCTGTCAATAATAATCTTCGTGCGTATACAGCATGTACGTATGTGTACATGAAAATGTTATTGCGTTGTCATACATATATACTGAAAAAAAAAAAAAAATGTTTTACAGAAACATTTTTCCCGGAAAGTGATATTCGGAGTCGAGCTTGTTTTCGTTCTCTTTATTACCTATATGAGAACGTTTTTGAAATATATTTAGGTACGCTAAAAAGTCAATGTGTGGTGCGCGTGTTTACCGATCATTCCTAATGGATCAAAGTTTACTTTATCTCATTGAAATCCTAATTTTCCTCGATATTTCCCAAAAAACCGATGCAATTCAATTAACTCGTTGGTACTGAACTCAAATCAGTCTCTGTAGAAAAAAGGTTGATAATCAGGTGTGTGTACCTGTATGAAAAAGAATGAAATAAATAGATATTTGTTAGCTCCTCTGATGATCAAACAATCGCCCATGTTACAGAGATACCCGTGAACAAGTCAGATAGCAGAGAGGGACAATGTCGGCGAAGGCGATCCGCGAGGCGACGGGCAAAGACCTGATCAACCGGAAACTCGGTGCCGACACCTCGGCGGCCAAGTGCCGCTTCGTGAGCGTCGACGAGTCGACCAACTGGACGCACCTCGTCGCCGAGAACCCCTGGCTCGGCCAGGAGCGCCTCGTCGTCAAGCCCGACCAGTTGATCAAGCGCCGCGGCAAACTCGGCCTCATCAAGGTCAATGCCGATCTCGGCACCTGCCAGGAATGGATCGCCGAGCGCATCAACAGAGACCAGCAGGTCGGCAAGGCCCAAGGCAAACTCAAGAACTTTATCATAGAGCCCTTCGTGCCCCACAAGCCTGTGAGTACATATTATATAGTCACTAACTCTGCTGCAGATATACCTACCCTCATTCATTTACAGTATTCGTTATACCTTACTTATACGTTAATGTGCTCTTTCTACCTTTTCCATTGTGCATTTTTCAGGAAGAGGAGGTCTACGTTTGCATTTATTCGCACAGAAGCGCGGACGTTATTCTGTTCTACCACGAGGGTGGTGTTGACGTCGGCGACGTGGATGCCAAGGCGTTGAAGCTCGAAGTCTCGATCGACAAGGATCTCCCGGACGAGGCGACCATCACCGACAAACTACTCACCCACGTGGCCACCGACAAGCAGCCGTAAGTCAAGAGAGAGAGAGAGGAATAATTGCTTCTTGAATTGTACATCTATTTTTTTTTTTTTTTTTACTTTCGTTGCTGCCACAGAGTCATTGCCAAATTCGTGCGGACGCTGTACAAGCTGTACGTCGACCTGTACTTCACCTACCTAGAAATCAACCCGCTCGTGGTGACAGACACCGCCATTTACATTCTCGATCTGGCGGCCAAGCTGGACACGACCGCGGACTTTATCTGCAGGCCAGACTGGGGCGAGATAGATTACCCACCGCCTTTTGGGCGCGACGCCTATCCCGAGGAGGCTTACATCGCCGACCTGGATGCCAAGTCCGGAGCCAGTTTGAAGCTCACGATTCTCAACCCGAGTGGTCGAATCTGGACGATGGTTGCTGGCGGCGGTGAGTACACTTTTTTTTTTTTTTTTCTTTCTTCAACCCTACCGCGGAGATATTAAGTCAGTACAAGCGGCTCTGATTGATGTGCAGGTGCTTCGGTCATCTATTCGGATACGATTTGTGATCTGGGCGGTGCATCTGAATTGGCCAATTACGGGGAGTACTCGGGTGCTCCGAGCGAACAGCAAACCTACGAATATGCGAAAACCATACTCAGTCTAATGACCAAGGAAAAGCACGTTGATGGCAAGGTTCTGATTATCGGCGGTGGCATTGCCAACTTCACGAACGTAGCAGCTACGTTCAAGGGCATTGTCAAGGCCCTACAGCAGTTCCAGCCCAAACTGGTCGAGCACAACATCAAGATTTTCGTGAGGCGAGCTGGTCCCAACTACCAAGAGGGCTTGAGGTTAATAATCATTTCTTTATGATATTGGAAATTATGATCGTTAAAAGTTGGAAAATTATTTTTTAACGTAAAGATTTTCTTCCATAGGATAATTCGAGAAGTTGGGAAACGACTGCAGATTCCCGTCCACGTATTTGGCCCAGAAACGCACATGACGGCCATCTGCGCGATGGCTCTGGGTAAGAAACCAATCCCCGATCCCGAGGCTCAGGAATTCTCGACAGCCAATTTTCTGTTGCCATCGGGTCAAGACTGCGGGCCGCCGGCTCCATCCTCCCACGCGGGCACGCCAACTTCGCCAACGAAGCCGATGTCCGTTAAAAAAAGTGACTCGGTCGACGCGGCTTGCAAAGTGCTCTTTAGCAACAAAACCAAGTCTATTATTTGGGGCATGCAGACTCGCGCCGTCCAGAGCATGTTGGACTTTGACTTTGTTTGTCGGAGGAACGAGCCCTCGGTAGCCGCCTGCGTCTATCCCTTTACCGGTGATCACAAGCAGAAATTCTACTGGGGACACAAGGAAGTAGGTTTCTCTATTGATTTGTTTCGATTTTTAACTATACCGCTTCCAAACTTGAATTACACGTTTTTGTTTCAATTTCACTTAGGTACTCATTCCTTCGTACAAGAATATGAGAGACGCCATGGCCAAGCATCCTGAGGCTGACGTGATGATTACGTTTGCCTCCCTGCGCTCGGCCTATGACAGCGCGATCGAGACCCTACAGTTCCCACAGATCAAGACGATTGCCATTATTGCCGAAGGCATTCCCGAAAACATGACGAGAAAGCTGATCCTGAAGGCACACGAGAAAAACGTGACCATTATCGGTCCAGCCACGGTCGGTGGTGTCAAGCCCGGCTGCTTCAAGATCGGTAACACAGGTGGAATGATGGACAATATTCTACACAGCAAACTCTACAGGCCCGGCAGCGTTGCGTACGTCTCGCGGTCCGGTGGCATGTCTAACGAACTCAACAACATCATTTCCAAAGGTAAGGTCATTTTTTTTATTTTATTAAATATCTATGGTCTTCAATAAGGTTTTCTCTTGGTTTCAATTTTGGTTTTCCGTGTCTGATACTTTTTGCAATTTCATTATAATTCATCAAGTTCACGGAGGACATTGACTTTGAAATTTCATAAATGTCACAACTGATTTTCCGCACACATTTGACCTTATGAAAATTTTAATTCATGCAGTCACGTTTTGCAGATGATAATCGGAAAGCCAGTTTGAGCAGAGACTAATTATCGAAATACCTTATTGGGCCAAACAACACTCTGAAACACCAAAGACCATTTTTCCTTTCTTTTTTTTCTTTTGTATAACTCGTCTCACTCTTCGTTGTAACAGAATTCCAAAAAAATTAAAGTACGTTTCTACGTAGCTTTTGAAACAATCTTTTTTCCGTACCCAACGTAACTCACTTAAAAATGCTAATGGCTTTCTAATGAAGTTCGCATTTGAAATCTAAAATTTTCAATTTCATTGTCACGTACGAAAATGTAAAGCTTTTCGATGAACTTAAATAGATTATCATAACGACAAGGAAATCGTCAAGTGATAAAAAAAAAAAAAAAAGAAAAAAGAAAAATTTCCTCAGAAAAAATTGTTTAGAACATAAAGTAAATCATATGTTTATCAAACTAAGTTTTTTTCTTTTTTTTGTACAAAATGAGGGTAAATAATTTTTTAATAAGCAAATAAACAATCAAAATCTCTTTTTAGCATCAAACGGTGTCTTCGAGGGTGTGGCGATAGGCGGTGATCGTTACCCTGGTACAACCTTCATGGATCACATAATGCGCTACCAGAACGACCCAGACGCAAAGCTGATCATCCTTCTGGGCGAGGTGGGAGGTGTCGAGGAGTACGAGGTGTGCGAAGCCCTCAAATCCGGCCACATAACGAAGCCCCTCGTTGCTTGGTGTATCGGCACGTGCGCCAGCATGTTCACCTCGGAGGTGCAATTCGGTCACGCCGGCTCGATCGCCCACTCGAACCTGGAGACTGCAATTGCGAAGAACACAGCGCTCAAGGCTGCAGGTGCCCACGTGCCAGACAGCTTTGATAATTTAGGTGAGCTGATCCACGCAGTTTACGACCAGCTAGTCAGGGAAGGCACGATCGTGCCCGAACCCGAGGTACCACCACCCACTGTTCCCATGGATTACAGTTGGGCTAGAGTAAGTTCGAATGTTTTTGAACTTTCAATTCTTTTTCAATTTTTAAATTCACACAATAACGATATCGACAACTTTCAACCTCAGGAACTGGGTCTCATCCGCAAACCAGCCTCCTTCATGACTTCGATTTGTGACGAGCGCGGTCAAGAGTTGCTCTACGCTGGCATGCCGGTTACCGAAGTGCTCAAACAGAACGTCGGTATCGGTGGTGTTGTATCACTACTTTGGTTCCAGCGTTGCTTGCCACCCATCTACTGCAAGTTCCTCGAAATGTCGCTAATGCTGACGGCTGATCATGGACCCGCCGTATCCGGTGCTCACAATACGATCGTCTGCGCCCGTGCTGGCAAGGATCTCGTCAGCTCGCTCGTCTCCGGTCTCCTCACCATTGTATGTTGTCATTTAAAAAACAATGCTCGCCTCAGACTGACGATCAACTGAATGTTATGTTCATGCAGGGAGATCGCTTTGGTGGTGCTCTCGACGGTGCGGCCAGAATGTTCTCCGAGGCCTACGACGCCGGTCTCCACCCTCAGGAGTTTGTCAACAACACACGCAAAAAAGGCCAGCTGATCATGGGTATCGGCCATAGAGTCAAGTCGATCAACAATCCAGACATGCGAGTCAAACTCATCAAAGAATACGTTTTGGAGAACTTCCCTGTCAAGCCGCTGGTTGACTATGCACTCGAGGTTGAAAAGATCACCACCACTAAGAAGCCAAATTTAATTCTCAATGTGGATGGAATCATCGCATGTGCGTTTGTTGACATGTTGAGACACAGCGATAGTTTTACAAGGGAAGAGGCACAAGAGTACGTCGAAATCGGTGCCATTAACAGCCTGTTCGTTCTCGGGAGAAGTATAGGCTTTATTGGTAAATTATTGAACCTCATAATTCATTACTATTACGGATTTGTTGTTCATGTAGTCATTAATTTAAATATATATATTTTTTTTCTATTTAAGGTCACTATATGGACCAGAAGAGGTTGAAGCAAGGACTCTATCGTCATCCTTGGGACGATATCTCATATGTATTGCCAGAGCAATACAACTGAATGGTTGTTTTTGTTCTTTAATTACCATATCGTCATCGTCCATCGTAATTACGTATCAACGTACAATGAATTTCCGTGTCATCAAGTTGTTATAAATGAAACATGGTAATTAACTAGACAGGAATTCATGGAAAAGAAATAAAAGTAAATAAAATATCTAACGTATGTGTAAGAGATGAATAGGACTCACTTAGGTAAAATATATTTTAACCAATTGAAATAGGCAATGCACTTCGCTATCTCGTTGCGTTGTTATTCAATTATAGAAAAAATAAACACGTCAAATAAGCACTGGCAAATTGTTTGCCGTTGAAAGTCCATTAATTGCCTTAATGAATCAAAACAGATGAATTTATGTTTAGAAAAAACGTTAAGTCGCTGTGCGACGCACTCCACATTTTAGAATAAGTAACTATGGGAATGAACAAAAAACATGTATAATTTGACATTGAATTAATCGACATTCCAATAACTGCATTTGTTTAATAAGCAGCAACACGCGAACCAACGATATTTATACAAATACGCAATTATAATTTTTCTGTTAACATTTTTTGTATATACGCAGACGTTGAATCACTTGAAAGAAATAGCTGAGATGAAGAAATGCGAATTTTTATTTCGTATTCGATTAAAATGAAGAAAATTAAAACCAATACTGTACCCTGTGCACGTGCAAAAAAAAACAACTTTTAGTTTTTTTTTTTTTAAGGCTTTGGTTAGGTCTGTGTATTCATGGAAGCAAGTAGGTAAATAAGTATTTGGACAAGAATAGATGAAACTTCTTGCTAAGAGACAAAATTATAGTATGCATAATTCAATGTAATGTATCATATTTATGTATGTATTATATTATGTAATTTACAAAGTATCTTTTAATTATTTGCATTAAAAAAAATCTTGTTAACTATAGTCATGAAAATGAAGTGGTTAATAATTATAATCATGTTATCTGTATGAAAAAAAAAAAAAAAAATTGTCTGCTGTAGATACGTGGATAATCTAAAGAAAATAAAAATATGGCCGAATTATAAAAAATGAGTTTATTCAATTTGATAATTTACATTAATTACATTGATCTCTTAACTACAAATAAACATTAACCACGAAATCATTGATTACCAATCAGAGATTTCTTCAATTATTGATTCAGATAACTCAATATCGATTGGTTTTTTTACTTTTGGATTTATATATCTTTCATACCATTCCACTTCAGCAAGAGCGAAATTTCTTTGTCTAAATGTACACAATTTATGATTAATTAAGATTTTTATTGTCAATGCAAATTAAAGTAATTTAACTTACAAGTTATTTATTGAGTTTGCGGGCTTTCGAACAGGATTCCAGTTAGGAACAGGTTTGTCGATAGCAATCATCACTCCTCTAACGCAATGAGAAAGTGCCAACTTAGTCATGTGATGATTCTTGTAAAAATAATTTATTTAACTATTATTTGATGAAAAATTTTAGTAAACATGAATGTACATAAATTCACGAGTCCTTACCCTCCATTCTGAATTGAAGACATCAGCTAAACTTATAACATCAATGGCCATAGCTGCACCATCAACATTGCAGCCCAAAGTATTTAGATAATTTTCGTGTACAAAGTTTATAAATGTGTTGGCTTGTGTTTGAAAGCATGATGCCAATTCATCAGGATTGTGAACAAATTGTAAAAACTTTTTTTCTGCTACTTCTGTTTAGTGAATAAAATATTTTTTTGATAAGTATGCAAATTTAGAATCAGCAACTGTACATAATTAACAAAAACGTTACTTTTTGGATTAATAACGCGACCAATAGCATGAAGAAGGCCAAGAGTTTCTTCTCTTACAGTACATTCGCTTTCATGTGTGTGCTGAACTTCAATTATAAGTTAACATTAACAAATGGTTTTTTTTATTGTTTTAATAAGAAAATTTAATAATTAAAACAAATTACCTTTTAAGGAACAAAATATCAAATTTAAAAGAGCACTTCTAACATCACCAATGTTATTTGACAACACTTCATCTATTTGTTGCTGTGTAACACGTAAAATGTCTTTAGCTTTAGAATTTAAGGTGGTTGACACCCTTTTCATTACATTTTTCAAAGCTGTTGGTGTGCAAGCATTGATACTGTAAAATGGATAAATGATAATATTGTAGTTTATAAACACATCGTAAATGCAAACGATTTTTGCGGTAACTCACTTGATTAAGTCAATTTTAAAATAATCACGATTACTTTGAGAGAACAAAGTCATCATTAGCTTTGAACTTCCAGTATCTGTATTTATGAATACCAGTGGTTCTCTTCCATACTGGCAATACTTTCTGCAATTCAAATCACACAATTAACAGTAAATCAATTTTTTTTCTTTTATAATGATCACTTACCTTAACAAACCTGCAAAGTCGTCTTTTCCTTCTATGTAACAATTAGGTATATCTTTAACTAATAATAATCTCCTGGAGTAATCAGACAATACTGAACTGTAACGTGTGGCCCTTATGAGAAAGTCTTCAAATCTCTCTCCTTGACGCATTATTCTATCTAAGTACAAAGAACATATATTGGTTGATGATGTGTTATTATTATTATTTTTATTATTATTATTATTATTATTTATATTCGTTTAAGCATTCTAAAACTCACTGTTTTCATCTATAATTTGATCCATTGGTGTAATCCACTCCACAACATCAAACTTATTGTCCTTGGCAATCACTTTAAAAGCCTCTGTCTTGCCACAGCCAGAAGGCCCAGAAATTACTAAAAGACTTGGCTGTCCATGTTTCACCTTTTCCTGAAACCATTTAGAGATTTCCCCCTGCTTTTGTCTACTGATAGCCAATTCAGCTGGCTTTTTTGGTGCACAGGCAGCCAACAAAGCTGCTAAATTGTGACATGGTTTCTTTTTGTATGAAACACTTGTATTAAAACTGTCAAAATCCTCTAGCTTTTCATCTTTGATTGCTTGGTATGTGGTTTTTTTGTTGGGCACAAATTCACAATGCTCATCAACATCAAATGATGACTGTAACCAGCTACTCACAGTTCTCTGAAATGGCAAAAATTTGTTAACTTGATTGTTGATATGTTTTTCAAGTACTTACTCCTAAATAACAAAAAGATAAAAAGAATTTTTTTTTTTTTTATGTTATAACCTGAAATTCTGTTTGAAAGTCGTACGAACCTTTGGTCGAGACATTACTATCAATGACTTGAATTGAAACGAAATGTTCAGTCAATCTGTATAAAAATCTGCATTTTGTGGTTAATGACAGAAAGTAAACATAAAATGTGTACTTCAATAAATTTCATACGATCAAAACTTGCAAAAGGTGCCGGCAGAAATTAAGCAAACAAATGGCCAAAACAACCACGGTTAAATAAGTTTGAAAATAAACTGTATGGTATAAAAAAGGTTACTTGGATGTTTTTCAATTACTCAATTAGTACTCCACGATTATAACGAATAATTCTTTTGCAAAATTCAGAGCGAACGACAAAGTAAGTTTAAAATTGATGGGTATCAGTGCGGATACTGCAGATCAGAGAGGATCACGCTCTCCCTTTCTCTCAAAGTTTGTACCTATAGTACCTACCATGGTATTTAAAATATACTAATAATACATATGCAGATGCATGACACAAAAGTTATTCAGTTTTTTACACATTTTAAGACATTTGAAATCAAAAATTATATTCGTCGAGAGTTTTTTTCAGAATTTGAATTTTTCCGCGCGCCCAGTGGAATGAGTATAGGTTTGTTCACGTCACGTCTCAGACCCGCAGATTTGTTCGGTTCGCGTTCGGTTCCACAAAACTAGATGTTATTGCGAACAAACTTATATAATAGTTCGAGCGTTCGTCTGCTTGGACTTGGACGTGGCTTGGACGTTGGACGTTGAATAGTTTTTGGACTTTTTTGTTGTTAACTGCGTACATATTATTTATATGAATGTTCGGGTGTATATAAATCAAGTAGTAGATAATTGTTGAGTTTACAAAAATTATAGCGAGGAATAAAGAGAGAAAATTAGTTCCACATGATAAAAAATTACTCGCAGTCCTTATCTTCCAGTCATCGCTCGTGCTCTCATCGTCGGCTCGTTGTTCATCTACTTAATAGGCACACCAGCTTTTTTTGGACGTGAAACAGAGACGAGGTAAGTAAAATCAACTCAATAATTAATATATGTTAATGGAATAAGTGGCCGAAATACGTAGCCGCTAAATTGTTTATAAATCGGTGATGTGTACTACGGTTAATACATGTGTGCGAGAGCGACCGTCGGTTCGCGTATATCGGTATCGTTGGATCTAACTTGTACTTTCTCTGAGAGATCATCGCTGTCGATGAAATAATAAAACAAAAAGCCAGATTATTAAGATCATCAAAAAAGCGGCGGGGTATCGTATTCGAGGTTAATATAGAACGTCAGCATCCTTGAGTCGCAGTTGTGAGCTTGTGAGTTGTGTGGGGTGGTGGTCACGTGGCTCTGGTAATACTTTCTCTGCAGTTTTAACTCAGTCTTCAAGTTCAAGATTCAAGATTAGTGTATACGTATATATAAAGTATGAGGTGGTGTAGAGAGTAAGGCTGCGGTGTGCGGTTAATTATTAGGTATTCTATCAAACATTATCGGCGAATACCGGAGTCGTCGTCCACAGTCTGCACCCGTAGGTCGCACTCGCCACGTTATCCCTGTATTTACACACCGGTCAGTCTGCGTATGTATTACATTTTTGTAAAATTTTATTTGTCCCAATTCGTAATACGTACTTTTAGCTCGCTTTTAGCTCTACAGTTTTTTTTTTTTTTTTTTTTTTTTTGTTACACTTCTCTGTCAGGTAAGATTTTTTTTTTTTCATTGCGCCCCCCCACTAAATTTTAAACTTTTTTTAGGACTTAATACAGGAAGGGTTCGTTATTTATTTTTTCTTTCAATTATACAAAGATAAGGTATGCACAACCTACAGTGGTTTTTATATTTTTAAGAAAATATTTCGTTTGTGTTGAGCATATTTAGATATATACTTTGATTAATGTGCCATACAAAATACGACACTGCATGCGAATGCGACACATGAGAAAATAAATATCTATTTATGCGTAATTGATTACTTGAGCCCATATATATATTCAACGCAAGAGTATGTGAATGTGTTACGTACAACCGGTGCAACAGTTGATTTTTTTTTGCTCACACTGTGTTGATGAAAACTGCAGCTTCGCCGATTTGCTTGCGTCTGTGCCACATATTATATACGTATAGAAGTATCATTTGTACGAGCTGGTCAATCAACAATATGTCAGGCTGCCGTACTGCTTTTCAAGTGACAATTTTTTTTTTTTTTTTTTTTTTTATTCAACTTAGTAGCGCTTTCTTATACGAATATTTTTGTATTTTATACACTTATATTATTTGTTACAGTTTACACGTCAAAATAAAGAAATAATGTATTGATATCATTACGAGGAATATGCATTTCATATGAACAAAAATCTCTAGCTCTGTAGCCTTTGCTAGTTGGACAGTGCTTTCTTTTTTTTTTTCTTTTAATTCTGCTGCACCTACACACAGAGATATTTCTCCATCTTTCTTATTTTTGCCCTAGCTAGTATAGCTCTTTGCGCGATTATTACTTGTACAATGCGTCAAAACAATATTAGTAATCATTTTTAAAAAGTAATACAATAATTATAATTAATGATACAGGAGCATAAAATTAAAAAAAATATGCCTAAAAGGAGATACTGAAGTGAACAGATTAACGTACAGGAAGTGAAACACTTGCAATCGTGTTAAATTTGTGGCAGAAACGTTTTGAGCTTTACTTAGTCTTTTTTTTTATTTTTGTAAAGTTCAGTCTATGTAGTACAGGTGGTTAAATATTCTACTATATTTGTATCGTACATTCGGTTGCAGAACTTAGTTTTGA